GAGAGGAAAACTCCCTTTTAACAGGAAGAAACCTCCAGAGGATCCTGGCTCAGGATAAGCAGCCATCCACCATGACTCACTGGGGATGGAGAAGACAGAGCAGACACACACACACACACACACACACACACACACACACACACACACACACACACACACACACACACACACACACACACACACACACACACACACACACACACACACACACACACACACACACACACACACACACACACACACACACACACAACAAGTAGTTTTTCTATGGTTACATTGTGATTTCTTAGTAAATACTCTATTTGGTGAGAGATAAACTTTATTGTATTTATCCTAGTGAATCTATAATTAAACAGGTAAACTAGTAGTAGCACATCCAACGTCAAAGAAAGTAAAATGTTATTATCAGGAGAGGGAGAATGTTTAAGTGGTTAGCAGCAGTGTGTTAGACGATGGCCCCCTCTGTGAGGCCACCACAGCTCAGCAGAACATCGTTGTAGCTTCTTCTGGGGAGAAAAACACTTAGAGAAAAATAAAGTTAACAGCTGAAATAGCAGGAAATAATACAGTTAAAGAGCAAATTGTAGAAGAAAGTAGTCGAGTGTGGAAAGTGGTCAGTGTATCCTCCTTATTCAATCAATCCATTCATAAGTTCAGATCAAACTTTATTGTCCATATACATGGATAATTGTCTTGCTGTACCGTATCCACCATATTCATCCATCCATCACCTCACCTGTTCATTCACCCAACCGGTTATCCAATCCATCCATCAATGAGTTCATCGATCTGACCGTTGCTGGACGTTACACATCCATCCCTCACTCGTGATTCGGCGCTATATAAATAAACTTGAATTGAATTGAATTGAATTGAACTCGTCCATTCACCCACCTGTTTATCTATCCATCTATGTATTTTTTCCTATTTTGTGTTGATTGGATTCAAGGTGACAGTCATTGTTAATCAATATTAACAAAAATAAAAAGGATCTATAAGCAAAACTAAATATTTTTTAATATTGTGTAAAAGTCTGCTACTTTTAGTAATCCATCTCAGACTGAGAGACCATCTAAAGCAGGGCTACTCAATTCAGGCTCTCGAGGGCCGGTATCCAGCACGTTTTATTGGTTTCTCTAGTCCAACTCACTTGATTCAGTGGTTGAATCACCTGAGCAGCAGCTCATCAGGCTCTGCAGAAGCCTGTTAATCACCTGCTGATTGAAATCAGGTGTGTTGAAGCAGGGTTGAAACCAAAACGTGCTGGAATCCGACCTTCGAGGCCTGGAATTGAATAGCCCTGATCTAAAGGCTGAGCAACCCTTTGCGGTTGTGTTGGATTCATAAGCTGGCTAGACTGTGACACTTTGAGTCTGGAATATTGAACCTTTTCACAATATTCTAATTTTCTGAGATTTTGAAATATCTGGCTTTGCATGGTATGAGACTGTCTCAGTTATTAGTTTCACATTTTAAGTTGAACTGCTGGCATAAACAAACATTTGCATCACGTTCTAATTTTTCCAGTTTCACCTGTGCAAACTAGGGGATTTTATAGATAGTGAGCCAAAATTCTATGTGTAGACAGCTTCTAGTGATTTACAAAATATTAACCTACTTTAATTCCAAGATCTGACCAAATATATTGCATCATCTTTTATCAACATTAGTTCAAAATGCTGGTATGAAAGACAGCTGAACAGAACTCTACTCTCCAACCCTCACCTATGGTCACGAGCTTTGGGTAGTGACAGAAAGAATGAGATTGCGGATACAAGCGACCGAAATTAGTTTTCTCAGCAGAGGGTCAGCTCTCCCTTAGAGATAGAGTGAGAAGCTCAGTCATCCGGGAGGGGCTTGGAGAAGATCCGCTACTCCTCCACATTGAGAGGAGCCAGTTGAGGTGGCTCGGGCATCTGGTCAGGATGCCTCCTGGATGTCTCCCTGGTGAGGTTTTCTGGGCACGTCCATCCAGGAGGAGACCTAAAGGAAGACCCAGGACATGCTGGCCAGGGAAGACCTTGGAATTCCCCAGGAGGAGCTGGCCCAAGTGGCTGAGGAGAGGAGGGGAACGTCTGGGCCTCCCTGCTTGGGCTGCTGCCCCTGCAACCTAACCTTGGATAAGCGGACGATAATGGGTGGATGCTGCCCATACCTGGTCTTATTGAGCATGTTGTCCAGCATGTTTTAGCTGTTTCTCTGCTCTCACCCACCTAAATTGGTGAAAAAATTTAACATTCAGAATGTCATTATGTTCTACAGAAGCCTGCTGTGTGTAAGATGGTGGTCCTGAAAGAGCAGGATCAAACACCGTGCTTTGTGTTCCTGCAACAGGGGAATGGTTTGCAGACAGACAACAGGAAAACCCCAATCCAAAAATCCCATGGAAGCCTTTTTTATTTATTTATAAAAAACTGCACTGAGTGACAGTAATTACAGTGCATTATGTGGGATCCACAACAAAAGGACTTTAATCAGGATCTTTTGTGTTTGTTGTAGCCACATTCGAAGAAGCCAATCAGCACGCAACTGATTTAACATTCATTTCCTGGCCGAATGGCGGGATTAACCAATCTTTCCATTTTAGGGCTTTGTTATTAATTGCTTTTTATTATCTTATTATTTTTAGTATGAATCTGTGTATGTATCATTTTATTTTAGTAATGGTCTGGATGAATGACATATGTATGGAGGTACAGTTTCTAAAACCAAATAAAAAATCAGGACTCCTGGGCAATTTTGAGCCCCAACAGTTTCATATACTATATAAAGAATCAATGATCATTTCCAGTCCAACAGTTGTTCTAGAAACCCCTTGAGCACAGAATATCTATCAGAGGGCGACGGTGGCACAGGAGTTAAGTGCTCGCCCCGCAATCGGAAGGTTGCAGGTTCGAGCCCTGCTCAGTCTGTCGCTGTTGTTGTGTCCTTGGGGAAGACACTTAACTCACCTTGCCTGCTGGTGGTGGTTGGAGGGAATGGGTGAATGACTGATTGTGTTGTAAAGTGTCTTGGGGGGTTCCAGGACTCTAGAAGGCACTATATCAAATACAGGCCATTTACCAGAGTTGCTGCAATATGTTGACATAGATTTGCTCTTGACATTACATTGTTGGGGATCAACCCCCCCCAATCTGTGTTGTTTTCTCTTTGATCCACGATAAAATAATAAAATACTGATTTCCCACATAAACTATTCTACATACTTAATCGTTATTGAAAAGCTGTTGTGTGTCACCAACATTTAAACATTAAACATGCCAATTTAACCATTTAACAGCAATTGTTTCATATCTAAAGACATCCCTCAAAAAGCTGCTTTAAACCATAAACAGTTTTTTTGCCCTCTGGTTGAAGCTAAAGTTGCCAAGTACTAATTGTATTTAGTTTTATTGTTATAAATGTAAATTATTGCATTAGTCAAAAATGTTTCAAAATTGAAAAAAATACCTGTTTTCTGATTATTATTTCCTGTGTCAGGCGTTAAATGGTTAACTGTCTCTCTAGGTTGATAATATCGTTGCTCAAGGCTGCAGATTTCTCTCAGAGTCTGAATGGAAGTTACTTCTCTTTCTCATCTCAGCTCTGGTGAGCTTCAGGTGATTTACCTGCTGAATGCTGAGCTCTACAGCCTATCACTGCCAATGCCATTATTATGATGGACTCATTTCATTAGCAAACTTAAACTTTAAGTGAATAACGTGTTTCTTTGGAAAATAGCTCTTTATATCCTAAACCTTCTTTTTTTGCCTCCATCCTCATTTAAACTACTTTTGTGAGACTCTTATTTTGATCAATACAGTCAGACAGGATGTGGTGTGCAGTGCTTTTATTGTGACGACCAGATTTGTGTGGGTTGGTTGTTGGGGAGCTTGACTGCTGTAACGTGAAGTGACGGTGGTGTTGATAAAAGAGCCTCTCGAGCTCATGGCCGTCGGTCTCTCTTCATGTGCAGCTTCCTCTCAGGACCCTCGGGTCCACTCGCTTTTAGCCCCATGTGTCACCCACGCCGCGTTGCAAACAGGAGCCTTGCATACGACTGGAATGTTTTCCTTCAGTCACATTATTGGTGGGGACTAGTTGGACATCACTGGATATTGGTGGGGACATGTCACCTCCGCCCATGCCAAATATACACCCTTGGTGCAATATGCCCAACAACTTCAGTCTTCCTCATTGTGACAAAGGTTCTGATAGCTAAAGGATCTGGTTTGCTGTTTACATTTTGCCCTGCAGATCCCAAATATACATTCACTGAGTCGATATTTTCATTCGTTACTTTATCCTTGTTTGCTAAACTCCAGTGAGCAATTACCAACATGCATGAAGTCAGATCATCTGACAAAACAGGATCCCTCTTCTGCTGCAGGTCAGAACAAATGCAATTACAGAAGCTGGACCAGCTATTCTGATCAGGCCTTCTACTTCTCTCTGTAACCAGACACTGTGGATTGGAGGCATTTCCCAGCCACGTGGACTAGTTTCTGTTTATTTGGAATCAATTAGCAGGATGAGTGGGAACCCAACGGCTCCCTGAGAGAGGAGGGAGGGAGTTCAGACACTTGATGTGAGGATGAGAGGAAGGAAAGAACCATGAAAACACTCTCTGGCTTCAGGGCTAAAACAGTGCAGGTGTTTGACACGTCTCGGTTATAAGCTGGTGTTTGTTAAGGAGTCTCAGAATATGAGGCAGAAGTGCTGGGGTGGGGGGAGTTTGAACAAGAGGCTTCACAGATTTGGACACCTTAACCTGAGCCAGGATTTAAATGGATTTCTTCAGCTGGGGTAACGGGTATCCTGGTTGGATGCCATTAGTTGCTCCCATGCTGTGGGTTCTTTCCAAAAGTGGAACGAATGGACAGGAAAGGGTAATCACCTTCCTGGCACCAAACACTTCTTTTTTGAGCCTAAATGGTTGGAAAATGCAGGACTAGAAATGTGGTTATGAGGTCTTATTTAGATAAGATGCAGCAGATGAAAATGAGTCCACTGAAGCAGAGTCTCTGTAAAAGCTGCTCTTTTATTTGTATCTAACTTTTTAAAGATGTCGGTGATAGGCTGCATCACTGTATTGTTTTCTCTATGCTAGGTTTCAGTTTGCATGCAGTTAATTTAAAGTACAAGTGAGACACAGCAATAAATTAGCATATCATTAGCATTTGTTACAGATTACCAACAATAATACTGAATATAAAATAAATGCAATTAATCACATGGTGCTTTTCATTCCTCTTGCACTACAGGTACAGGTACAAGCAACTTGACATTCAAACATCTGAGTTCACAGCAACAAGTACTAGTTAGACTGTCTAAATGTTTCTGAAGGCTCCTCATCCCTCAGCCAGTAATGAGTCAGTTCGAGTGTCCTGGCTGTCTTGTTGTAGATTAGAGAACAAATAAAAATCTGTTTGACATCGTCACGCGGAAAGTGGCTACGAAAAGTAGCAGCAGCAAAATTAGGAGTTCGACGTTAACAGCTTCTATGAGATCCTTTTACACTCCTGTGTTGTCTTAGATTCACCTCCATGTAGGGTTTCAGAGGTGTTCCCTTTCACAACCCCTACACACACACACACACACACACACACGCACACACACACACACACACACACACACGCACACACACACACATACACCAGCAGAAACGTCACCTGGGTGAAAGGATCCTATCAAGTGTTCATTTTGGCCGTTGCACCAACAACAATACACTTTTTGACAGTAAAAGTTCCCAGTGTGAGGTATAAACAGACACAAACAAAACAAAAACATGACCAGCATTTACCAATAAGAGTTATCGACAAATATATATTTTCACATCGTTTGGACCCAGCCCCACTTTTACAGCACACTGGAGAAGTTTTGAATGGAAGCACACACTCGATAGCACCAGAAGCCTGGGAAGGCCACAACCCTTGGAGCGTAGCGGGAGGAAATGAGGAAGTAAACACAGCACTCCAAGGAAATCACAATACAAGTGGAGGGAAAGCACCATCGAGCTGGATGTTTTTGTTCTTTCCACAGAGGGACAAAATAATGGGGCGGTAAAAGAGAATGGGGACACTTAATCTTGGAACATGGGATGCATAAACAGCTAAACGTTTTAGGATTTTTTCAGTAAGACGTTAGCTTAATATAAGAGACTGGAATCATAAGGAACCAAACTGACGTTAAGTATAAACCAACTTCTTCATCTCCCTTACCGGCTACTGTGATTTGTGAATAGCTGAAAAACCACAGCCTAATCTGAAGCCCTTTAGCGATACTTCATTAAGAGAAGACCAGAGTAATTATCAGAAGTTTTAGGCTTCTTTTTTTTCCACAGATCGAGATATTTTTTTTTATAAAATAAAGTTTATAAATTTTCCCCAGCCCAACACTATAGAAACTCACACGCATGTATTATACAGAACAGAGAGGCTCGGATTACAACACAGTTTGTGTTCTGACAATTAGAGTTACTATAATATATTTAATGCAGTTGATTGGCTAGCTCATTCTATCCCATTAATTTCAATTATTCTAAAACATTAAAGGAAATTTCGGAACTTCAAAAATCCATGAAATGTCTGGCTAGTAACTCATTTGAAGTCCAGATAAGGGTTAGGCCATTCATGCCTTACAACAAGGTGAAGTTGGGTAGAAAGAGTTTACTCTTGTCTAAATCTTCTATTATCACAATAAAGCACAAGAAAGTATTTTTAACTAAACCTTTCACAGTAACAGTTCTTCCAACTGAAAAACTCACCTCCCGACCTTTGATGGTCTGTTTAATGCCATCATACCAACCAATCTGAACGAGTGAGTTCTGATGTCAACTTAGACAGCTGTTTACATGCTAACCCTTCATTGTTTCAGGTTGTTGGGATGCAATTTCAAAACATTAGTTGGCGCTGCAGCTGAATTCTATGATTTTAGACTTTGATTTGGGTTTTTGGGATTGGGCGTGTCATACACACAACAGTCATGGTGGTCCGCAGAAAGACACAAAAAGAAGTCCAACACACAACCCCAGCTGTGACTACAAGGATGCTTAAACCCCTTTTTAAGTTAACTAACTACATGCACTATAGACAGTAATGTAGTACAGTGACAGATATGTGCAATGACTTCTGGGATTTAAGCCAGTTTTAGAGTCACGGACGCTAAACTGAGCTGGATTTATTGGTCAAGAAAGTAAAAAACTCCAACATAGAAGAAACCAGAGAACCTTTGTGAACATTAGAAGACATTCAGGACACTTCTTACAGATGCTGTTCAACAACAGTAGAATGATCAATGATGATGTCACCAAAGTGACATCATCGAACCAGACCAATAAATCCAGCTCTGTTTAGCTTCTGTGACTCTAAAACTGGCTTAAATCCCAGAAGTCATTGCACATATCTGTTACTGTACTACATTACTGTTCTATAGTACATGTAGTTAGTTAACCTAAAAGGGGTTTAAACATTCTTGTAGTCACAGCTGGGGCTGTGTGTTGGAATTGCGTTTATCCTCCTGCTTTGATGCTTCCTGACTCTTTAGCCAGCTGAATCACTTCCAGGTTGCAGTACCATTTGTGATCTTTACAGGGAGCCCAAGCCACACCCATCTACTTCCAGACCATGGGTTCCCAGAGGAACGAAAAAATTAATCCAAGTCAACGAGACTGTATAAATTATTTTCTAATCCCGCTTGTCATGTGCCATGGATTTCAAATATGATGTCCGTGTATTTTAAAGACACACTTTGATGCCAAGAACGAGCATATTTTCAAACAGGGGAAACGTTACTTTAGGTTCTGAGCGAAAACACGTCCAGGACTAGTAGTTATGTGCATCACCAAAGTGACATCATCAAACCAGACACGGAGAAAACCGGAGAAAAAAAAAGGCTGTAAGTTCAGTGAACTTCAAATTGTTCCCTCAGAAGGAAAGCACCACCATTAATCTGGCCATGTGGTAGGTAGCAGCTACGCTGGGGGGAGGAGATTCTGTGGTGATGCCATACATGCGACGTGCCGACATCTGATTTGTAGTCATGCTAATTGCAAACTTTTACAAACTGACAAACCTCGAAGTACGTAACAGTCATGGTCGAAACACACTTCATTATTTTCCATTTACATTGAAGTAGGTGTGATTCAGGGTCTAAGGCAAAGCGGATTAGAAAATAGCTCTTTTAGCCCTGTTGACTTGCATTTATTGTTTCGTTCTTCCATGCACCCATGAGCTGACCGGAAAAAGAGAAGACTTAGGCTCCCTATTGCATTTTTTAAAGCTATTGTTGCAGGACCTGCCAGGGATAACGGTCAAGAGGGGAATCCAGGCCATATAACACAACACATTCAAATGCAACAAAGCTTTTACATTTACACGTGTCTGCCTATGTTCATTCTGGAGGTGAGTTATGAAGAGCTAGCATGTATCGTTTAGCGACTCAAGGCAGAAGCTCAAAGTGACGATGCATATTTTTCCTGGCGATAGGGGGCAGTACATGTCTAAATCACTGCAGGCAAGTGGTATTGTTGTGTTTGAGAAAGACCTTACCAACGGATGGCCATTAGGGTCAAAAACCTCCAGGAAAATGACAAGCACATCAGACTGCCTTTCATCACTGGCAACGAGTGAATAGGTACAAGTGTAAAACAACAACGTTTATAACGGCGGCAGTTTTGATACCTTTTGCATTTTGTCCTCACAGGCTCCCATAGAAAGAGATATGGCTTTTAATAGGACGTCACCCAGAGACTTAGACCTGCTCCCATGTGTTTTAAACCTGATCTTTATGGTTATATGTCACAAAACTGCTAACATTTTTAAACAACTGGGCATCATTTAATGGGTTTTCAACAACATTTCGATGGATATTTCCAGAGATTAAACATAAAAACTACACATTGTCTGTTTAATGCACCTTAATAGTTATGAATGTAGGCGAACACATACAATTTAAAAACGTTGTATTTATTTGATTGTGGCGTCTTAGATGTGGCCTAGATTATCGCGTCTACATATTGTTGATTGTTATCTTGGGCAGGTCCTGCAACGATAGAGTACAGGGGCCATGGCAGACACTAACGTCACTGTGAATTGGAAAGGATTCAGCAGGCTAAAAAGTCAGGACGTGTCCGTGGCATATAGCCTGTTCCTGTGATATTCTGGCTTGAGCAAATATTATTCAGTTCCAGGAAAAATGTGATCAAAATACTTTGATGCAAACGTAACAAAAAGGTATTGAAAATCGTTCATATTTCTTGTTCTTGACTGATATTTGGGGTGCTAAATCTCATATTTGTGAGTTATCTTCAAATTTGAGCTGTTATGTGGCTCCAGCTTCAGAACTGTCAAGTTCTCTGTAAAAAGATCAACATGAACCTTGAACTACGCCTTTAAATATCACCTAACCAGCATGAATGAAGCAACCATAAACTGTGAGGGGATTAAGAACTAGTGACTGCTTTGTGACTCTCCAACAAAACTTCTCCTTTAAACCGAATCCTTCACAAATGGACTATTAGCTTCTCAATAGTGAGTTTACAAATGGGAAGATTGGTGACAACGTGTCATGGTACCAAGGGAACAGCTGATGATCAAAATGGGAACAATGGCTGATATTACATGAACTTTTGTTTCTGTGGAACTAAGGCACTGGTTTGGGGCAGGAAAACAACGTGGTGTTTTCTAGTCTTGGATTAACATCATTTATAATACATGAGTCCTTATTATATATAAGGGTCTAACATATGTTACAATATCATTTCATCCCAGCAAGAAGTCACACAATATTAGTTGAATTGAATTACAATCCCTTCCACAACAGTAGGCTGTTATTTAACAGAGACGTCTGCGGGCAATATTTCTGCTGAAGTGTATAATAAATATACAGTACACTGAGGGGTGGGGGTCTGCTATAGTCGAGTTGTAAGTTGGTAAATTATTTATGCTAAAAAGTGCACCAAATTTCTGCTAGCCAACTGCACCATCAAGTTGCACTAAAAACAAGAGTGTGACGCATTTAGCTCCCGACGCGGCGCTCTGTCTTTATCACTTGGCTACATCCTGTGGGAGCGATGCGTCCAGCCACTTGGATTTACAACAGAACAAACACAGAGGAAGACTAATAATGTTGTAAGTAATTATTATTATAATAAAAATAACATTGTCAACTATTAATCTTCCACGTTCCACTTCATAGAAGTGAATATTTATTAAAAAAAGAATTGAACTCTATGTCAGCGGTATGGGCTGAGCAGTGGTTACGATTCCACCATGATGGAGGGCAGGATGATGGGTGGAGATGATCAGGGGAGTCCCTTCTTCCTCTCATCCGGGCTCTACTCTTTACTCCCTGCTCAAGAGTCCGCCTGCCTGGCTATCTGCTTTTCACCCACTCAGTGCCGTATCCCTCCATCTTCTTTGCCTCTGTGTCAGTCTTTTGCTCCTCTTGGCTACATGTTGCTCAGTGCCCTTGGCAGGTCTTGCAGCACATCTGCCTGAAGTACGCTCGGCTGCAGAACTTGAACTTCAAAACCAGCGGGCAGTAAGCCACTTTGTTTACATCTTTGCATTCTGTGGAAAGAAGGAACACGGCTCAGTTACAGAGTGATGAATTGTAAGAAAACATTTTTTTATAGTACAGCGTGTCTCGCTTTTAAAGAGATGGCCTGTCTGCAACCCTTGCATTTACTCCTCCTGTGCATTCCAGTATATTTCAGTGAAAGTAATAAGAATATGATTGTCTGAAAACTAAATATCTAGAAGGTAAATCAGCATTTTCCAGGCCTCTTGTGGGCAGTATAATCATGGTATAAAAGCTGCTGTTTCCTCCTTTAATAACCAGTTCAGTGGCCTAGTGGTGGAGTGTCCGCCCTGGGACTGGCAGATCGGGGTTCAAATCACGGTTGAGTCACACCATAGACTTTAAAAGTGGGACCCAATGCCTCCCTGCTTGACACTCTGCTTTATGAGGTTGGATTGGGGGCTTAAACCACCAAATAGTTCCCAAGCGCAACCACAGCTGCAGCTCACCGCTCCCCACAGGGATGGGTCAAATGCGAAGATGAATTTCACCAGTGTGAGATGACTAATTATGGGACTTTAACTTTAGGTGACAGATCATTTGCTGCTGTGGCCCCCAGACTCTGGAACTCTCTCCCCCTGAGCCTGAGATCAGAGGACTCAGTGGTCTCCTTTAAAAGCAGCTGAAAACTCACTTGTTCAGGCTGGCTTTTGCGTGACCTTCATCGCCACCCTCTCCTTGTTCTGCTCTTTCTACCAATTCTGCCTTTCCCAGGATTAATTCATTGCCTCTTATTCATTTCTCCTTTCCTCACGTTTTTAATCACAACTTTGTATTTTTCTCATTTTAAAAATTTTTATATATTTTTTGTAATATGGAAAAAAAAGCTTTTATCGTTTATTTAATCGTTTTTTATGTTTATTTTTGTGAAGCGCCTTGTGATTTTTATCTTGGGAGGCGCTATATAAAGGATTGTTTCTTCTTCTTTAGTTCTGGTTTTTATCAACTCCTGAGTAAAACGTGATTGTTGCTAAATAGCCCCAGATGTCACCGCTGTATGCTAAAGTAGTGGAGTAGTACCACAACTAAATGAAAACTTAATAAAAATAAATGAGTGAAATTAAAAATGTTTCATCATTTTCTTTAACAAATAGAATATTTGGCTTTAAACAACATCCCAGATTGCTGCTCGGCTCTATGAAAACATTTTTTCTGTTGACACCATTGTTCTGGCAACAGCAAGAATCCTGGTAACATTATCTGACAACAGTGGGCTTTGGAGGATTTCGAGTATCCATTCTCTACTATTATGCAGTTATTAAGGGTTGATTTATTAATTCATGCAATGAACGGTTCCAATACTTCAGCTAGAACTGTAGACGAAGACAGCAAAATTAAATAATTCAAAGATCCAACCTCACAAGAAGGGAAACAAACTATGAATAAATGAACTTGGTGAAGCGCAGTAGGCAATGGAAACTGAGATCTTGGAAAGTAAAATCACATCTGTGTGATCCTGGGAAACATCAGCCCTGTCTGGCTGTTTGAATCTTCTCATATTTCATCTACTTTAATTCAAGTTTTACACCTTTGGAAGTGTAAAGCATTTCTTCAGAAGACTGAAACAAAACTAACTCAAATTTTTTTTTTCATAGCTGGATGATCTCCCCTAGGGCTGGGCGATATGCAGTGATGGATTTAACAATTTGGGGGCCCAAGGCGAACACAGACATGGGGCCCCCTTACACTAAATTTTCAACAATCTTACCTTAACCTGGATTTGTGAAACTCTCCCCTCTTCTGCCATGAGTCATTTTCCCTTTTCATTAGTCCTCGTCTTTCCCTCCCTTTGAGCGCTTTCAATATTTGCCTGCTTTCTTCTTCTTGTCAGTGCTCCTGTGCTTTTGCCTTTGTTTTTTTCTATTTTCCATTTTGGTCTATGTTTTCCTCCCTTTGATCATTTTCCATTGTCTTTCCTTTTCTGCTTCCTTTGATGTTTACACTGAAAGACGACTTCATTTTCGGAAGTGAAGATAAAAGCTCTTTTGAAGCAAGCTGCTTCTTTCTGTTATTGGAGCCACGAGGATAACTCCTTTTCAGGCTTAATGTTTTGACTACCGCTTCGAGTTTGTTATTAACGCTCCCGCCCCTCTTCTTCTTCTTATTTGTGGTCTTATGGCACTTGGCAAACAATAATTTGGTGCATTACCGCCACCAAGTGGATTCGAGTGGAATGACTACCAATCACTTCCTGTTTGTGCATCGCCTTAAAGGAATAGACCATTATGGCATTAACAGAGGGGTGGTCAGGGCTAGGGGGCCCCCCCGAACATAAAGGGGCCCCAGGCGGCCACCGACCTATGCCTAATGGTAAAACCGCCACTGGCGATATGGCCTAAAATCAATATCATGATATATTGAGGATTTCACCTCGATAATGATAAATGGACGAAAACTACAGGTATGCGCAGAAACAAAAGTTGGCCACTTGATGGGGCTGTCACTTGTATTACAGTGAGTCACATTTTTGCGTGACCCAAGGTGGTACAGCTTCTTAAAGGGACATGAACGTTGCCGACCTACATATCTTTTCATTTTTGTATTATCAAATTTACTGACATGGGAAAAACGATCTCGATAAGCGTCAGAAATGTTGATACATTTGTGATTTATTGCCCAACCCTAATCTCCCCAACTGATGTTGAAACTTTCAGTTCACTATTTTAACTGAGGACATTTTGGACCATGGAACTAAATTTACAGCCCAGATATTTTTGAGAACCATAGAAGTAGCTTCTCAATAACAGCCTTTAACAACTTCACCACATTTTCAAAAGAGTGAAATCCTAGATTTTTAAGTCTCGTATTTTTTTCTTCATAAAAACGTTTAATTACCCCTAAAATGATTTGGTTAGATCAAATTTGGAATGCCGTTAGCTTGCTAGTCAAGCAGAAGTGAGATGAATGTCAATTTTTAAAGTTCAATTCATTTTTAATTATTGGCATAGCATCAATTTAAAACAAGAGTCATCTCAAGTCACTTTCAGTTCATTATGCCAATCAATTAAACATTTCCTATAGTATAAGGAAACCCAGCTGATTGCATTGAGTCAGTGACTTTACAGCAATCCCCACAATAAGCAAGCATGTAGCCACAGTGGAGAGAAAAACTACCGGTACCCTTAAATGTGAAGAAACTTCCAACAGATCCAGACTAGTATGAGCAGTCATCTGCTGTGACTCACTGGTGGTAAGTAAAAACTGTGGTTTAAGTCCCATGGTTTTGGTTTTGGATCACCGTGGAGCATGTTAAGCTGTAGTTCGAGCATTTTGTTGTTTGTTTTCTGGATGGGACCTTGGAAACACTGCAGTCTGGTGTCAGGTCCTTACATGAAAATCAGCAGTGCTTGTAAGGGTTCTGAATGATATCTATCTTATGAATTTTTCAGGGGAAGTGATGATTTTACTACTTCTTGATCCAATGGTGGCAATTGATACGGTCATGCCATTATGTTAAGATGATTGAAGGGGTGGGTGGGGATAGGGGGTCAAGCTCTACAGTGGATGAGGTCCTACCAATCTGAAAAGAGCTTACATATTCATATGGGCAATCTTGCATTGGATGGAGCCATCTTTCTCTGAGGTGTACCGCAAGGGTCCATCCTTGGTCTTCTTGAGTTTTTCAAGTCCATGTTGAGTGTGGTAGACACCATGTCACCAAACAACACAGTGACTACCTGAAGCCCTATATAAATAGGCCCACTGTCTGATTACAATTGTCTAGACACCCTTGATGCTAATTAGTGAACACACCTTACATTAACATGTCCCTTTGGTCACATCATTTTCAGTCTTTTCCAGGGGTACCATCATTTATGTCCAGACCTCTTCCATGACTGGGGAACAAACTCCCACTACATATTAAACAGTCATCTACTGTCTGGAGTTTTAAAGCTAAATTTAAGCAATTTTACAAATCTAGTTAATTTAAAAAAAAGTGTACTCTTTTGGTTTTATTGTTATTTTTCTGGTAAAATTCTTGGAGTTTTTTTTTGTATTTTAATTATTTTTAGACATTATGTGCATTTTGATTTTATTGTCTTTAGTGTTTTTTTTTATGTCTTATGACATCCATTTTTTAGTATGGTCTTATTGTTGTCTCTAATTTTAATGTATATGATCTATGATTTTATCATGTACTGCACTTTGAGCAGCCTTGGCTGGTAGCATTAAGGTGTTTTATGAATAAATAAATGAAATGAGTTTATACATTTTTTAATAATTCAGTTGAAGCATGGTTGAAAAACAATGTCTGATTTTCATTGAGTAAGATTCATAGAATTTTTAATTATTATTACTTTTGTCAGATTGAAGTTATTTCTGTGACCATTGTGGGTTTTTCTTTCATTGAACAAAGGGTACTAACAATTTTGTCCACATCTGCATTAGTCATACTGGTATACCTGGTATAAAAAGTTTCAGAACTACTGGTTTGAAGGCAATCCTAAGGAACTGAAACTGCTGTTGTTAAGGGAAATGTGTGTAACTACAGTGACCACAAATATTATTAACTTTAAGTAAATTTAAATGTAGCTGAAATATCAGCTTGACTTCTCTTGTTGTATGGCTGTGGTGAAATCAGATTGCTATCACTGTAGGTAATAATATTACTTAAGGGTACATAAACTCGAGCTAACGTGCTACAATGGGATAGAGCATTTCCCTTGGGCCTCAACAGGATTAAACTCTGCAACTATACTTGGATGCAGCGACTAGGATTTAGACAGATCCTGGCCTCCCTCACTAACTGGGCTGACTGCCATTCCTGGTTTGCATGCTTACACACACACACACACACACACACGCACGCACGCACGCACGCACGCACGCACACACACACACACACACACACACACACACACACACACACACACACACACACTTAAACTCCTTGTTGGATCCCGGACAGGCAATGCTCTAAATGCCTTATCACGATCAGAGTGTCTTCCCTTATTAGGCTTTGGCCCCTGCCTCCACAGAGCCAAATGAAACGAGACATTGCCTCACTGCTGTCCGTAAAGGAACAATTAGCCTACAGCTAATCCCATTAGCCAGCCTGTAAACGCTGCTCACGTTTTCCATTCAGGCTAATCGAAAGGCCCCTCTCTATGCATCTGAATAGCCATCCATCATGTGTAAGTGTATATGGAGGGCTGAGCTGTTTTGCTTTGACCGGGAGCCAACATCCCTGGAAAGATTAATGCAGCTGGCAAGGTGTGGCGGTGTGTTTCATCCAAGTGTGTTTAGGTCACAGCAGAACTGTGAAGTCGAAGATAGAGATGGTTTATAACCTTTTCCATTGGGGCTTTGTGTAAAAACAGTCTAAAAAGTACAGCAAAAATCTGTCTAATGACTTTGTTCCCAATGCTTCAGGCTCAGACAAAACGAGTAGTTTGCGGATTTTTTGAGTGCCGTATGTTTTACTATCTTACCATCACCAGAGGAGACGGGGGTGGCATCACACTTGCTCTCACACTGCTGCATGGTGGCCGGCCGGAGAGATTCTGCACACTCACTTGACGGCTGTCCGATGTAGGACAGACATGTGACGGTCCTCATCTGCTGACCCAGACCACACTGAGCTGAACACTAGAACAGAAAGACATCACAGCAAAACCTTACTGCAGGTTTAGATCAACATTCAGTCCATGCATTTCACAGGGGAAACGAGGACCATGTTTCCCCTGTGACCCTGAGTGCTGAGCAGAAAGGCTGTGCTCTCTCTCTCTCATGAACACACACTCGGGTGTTCTATAGTAAACCCTACATTCAAACCACACACCTTGATCCAAACAATCAGCAGGACGTGGAGGCAATGAGCTGAAGGTCACCTTCACTGACTGATTTAGAGGAAGTCCTTCAAAACTTCAGCTGTTCCACAAAAGCTTTAGAGCCCTATTTTTGTCTTTCTCTCAATTTAAAAAACAGAAGGCCTGTGTTAGTGCTGGCTTTTTAGGGCCTGTCAGAAAACAAAAGATGAAAAAATTGAGGCTGAAAGAAGATGCTTTGTTTATTTTCCAGTTTTTAGATTACGGTCAAATGTTTTCATTTTTTCATTTCACTTCATTTGTAAAGTCTCTTCCATGACCTTATCGGATGCTCAGGGTGAAGAAGTTCCTTAAAGAGCCTTATATACTAGAGTTAGCACCTTGAATTTTGCCCTGAACTGCACTAAGAGCCAGTGCAGAGATACCAGCACAGGAGTAGTGTGTTCCCTGTGTGCAGCACCTGTCAAGAACCTAGCAGAAAAGTTTTGGACCAACTGCCATTGTGCCAGTGCACCCTGACTTAGGCCAGCATACAGCACACTGCATTAGTCCAATCTGGATAGGACCAAAGCGTGAGTGACCCCGACTATAGGTGAACTCTTGACAGCAGGAGCTTAATTCTTGCCAGGCGGTGCGAGTTAAAAAATAAGACATGGTTAATATGTGTGTCAAGTTTAAGGCTGTTGAGACAGAAGTTTAAATGGTGAGAAAAACTCAATATGTTTAAAATATTATATGGATATATTTCTTGGAAAAAAACTTCTAACAGGTTATAAAAAAGTCTAATTCACAGAAGCAAATCCAATAGTGCTTCTTGGCTGAATTCGTTTTGTTTGTAGAACTACTCTGATGGTTATGGTGAGGTATTACAAGTTAAAATGGAAAACAGCAACAGAGAAGACATTTTCTTGCACCTGAGGTTTTCAAGTTCAAGTTTATTTGTAAAGCCCCTTCCTACCCCCAGTCAAGGGGGCCCAAGGTGCTGAACATAATGTAAAAACAACTAAAACACAATCAAACAGCTTTATAATACAATACAGAAATAAAACATTCAAAGATTTTACTCCATTTAATCCTTCACAATAAGAGTTGCAAACATGAACACGTATCTGAAAATGCTTTACTAAAGATCTGAAGCTTGAAAATAAGCTAATTATCATACATAATAGATGTATGTAAGGTTTGTCACGTATGGATGTCATAAGTCCTTGCACTAGTGCAGATTTAGTTTAAGACTACTCTTTTAATCTTGAAATACAACATTAGTCTTGGAATTTCTACTTTGTTCCATCCATCCAGTCATCCATTCATCCATCCATCAATCAAATCATCCATCCAATCATCCATCCATCCATCCATCCATCCATCCATTCATCCAATCATCCATCCATCAATCCAATCATCCATCTGTCCATCCATCCATCCATCCATCCATCCATCCATCCATCCATCCATTTATCCAATCATTCTTCTAATCATCCATCTATTCATTCAATCATCCTTTCATCCAATCATCCATCCATTCAACCAATCATTCATCCATCCATCCATCCATCCATCCATCCATCAATCCAATCATCCATCTGGATTTGAACTGGTAACCTTTTGGTCCAGAAGACCAGGCAGTTTGTAAAAGAATTTTTCTTTGTTTTTCTTTGAAGCTGTCAAGCTAGAGATTGGAGCAGCGAGGCTGAAACTCATAATAACAAACAAAAAAAAAAAAAAAACAGAACCATTTTGAGCCAAAAGTAAAAAGAATGACACAAATATGATATGTCACAGTTTGTTCTGTCAGATATGATACTCCAAAATATTCTGAACAATTATTAAGTGATTCCAAATTCAAAAAATCATGAAAAATGATATTTATCTCCCCCAAAAGCCCTTTTCCATAGAACCAGCTTTGAAGACTTCAGAGGTCCTAATTATGTCTGGCAGAACCAGGACCATTTCCTAAAGTTAATCCAGCTGTGGAATCAGGGCTCAACCAGTACAGAGCTCATTGAAAATGGGCAGTAAATAGGTGTGAGTCCCTCTGCAGCCGTAAGGAGAAGACTTTTTGATGTTGGCTTGATGTCAAGAAGGGCAGCAAAGAAGTCACTTATCTCCTAGAAAAACATCAAAAACAGGTCAACGTTCTGCTAAAGGTCCAGAGAATGGACTCGGGAAGGAAAGTAATTTATTTCGTTGAATCACCTCTTTTTCATGCCAACAGCAAAGAATCCTGAGACCAATAATATATGGGGTTGCATCTCAGCAGCGAGGTCTCACTCATAGTTCTCACGCAGAGCACAGCCACGAAAAAAGAATGGGACCCTAACATCTTGCCAGGGGAACTCCTCACAACCATCAAAAGCTATTCGGTGATTAGAAGAAGGTATTTTCCAGCATGATGGAGCACCAATCCCATTAGGCTAATAGCATAACGAAGTGGCTCACTGAAAATAAAAACATCAGCATTTTGGTTCAGAAGAAACCAGGCATTAATCCCACTGAGAACATGTGATTCATCCCCAAGAGGCCGGCAGATGAACAAAACCCACAAATTCTGATAAACTCTCAGGAATCTGTCAGGATTTGGCACAGAAGCTGATTAACAGCGGGCCAGGGCTGACAGCTGAGTAAGAGGGACCAACACTGTAAATATTGACTCTTCACATAAACTTTATGTAATTGCAAATTAAAAACCTTTGAAAAACCTTTTGCATCTGACAGAAACGTATAAAAATAACACCGCCAATTTAGCTAAAACCAATATATAACTGTCAAAAACGTTTGGCCACAGCTGTAAAACAGAAGAAACGGTGACAGGGCACGCACACACACACGCACACACACACGCGCACACACACACACACACACACACACACACACACACACACACACACACACACACACACACACACACACATCTTCACTGCGAGGGATGAATCCTGCTGTTGCTCCATCTGGCCCAGATATGCATTTATTTAATGGAACACAGTGAGGTTATCAGTTGATCTGATTGATATTAAAACTGATTCGTATGTAAAAGTGTGCCGATGACTTATGATCCCATAAAAAAATACAAAAATGAAACATGACATCACCCACTCAGACAACTGCCCTCTAAACATGAGAACACAGCGTTTAAATGTCCTCTTTTACTCTAGATTATCACCGAATCCTACAGAAAAGCAAGCCATGTTTTTTGTAGGTGTAACTATTCGTGACGCACAACGTGTTGGAATCATCTCAGAGACTCGAGTCAGCAGTGTACTCAGTAATGTCAGGGTGAGCCCGGGTACGCTACTCCTCTGTCTCTTTCCAAATAGTGTTCCTGGAAGTGACAGAGAGTTCTGCACCGAGGCAGAGATAAACTTCAAACAGCCTTCGGCTCATCACTGCCAACAGCCACACACACACACACACACACACAGGAACAGCTGGACTCACAAACTCGGCCTCTACGCACACACACATGCGTCACAGCACTCCCTGCAAGTCACACAGGTGTAAACTATACAAACCATTCACTAACACACTGAGTTCAACTGTGCATGTTTTGACCTGCAAATTATTTAAGATATTTTGTTAAAAGCTTAACATCTAAATACCAATTAGGAGATTTTTTTTTTATAGTAACGTGACAAACTCGCAGTCCTACCTGTCCCCAGTCACCTGGGATCCAACGAGGAGGAGGACACCGTCCCAAACTGCAGCGGATTCGGACTGGAGGTTTGTTGTGGCTTGAGCAATGGGTGGGCGGGAAGGTTTTAGTCAAGTTGTTGCTTTTACACAAGGCGATGCGGTGCTTGAAGCCGGGGCCACATTTAGGTGTGCACTAAAGTCAAAGAGGGACATGTAAGACAAATAGAAACATCCTGGAAGCACAGTCAGCTATAGGGACATATTATATCTACTTCTAAAGGAGCAACATGTAAGAATTCTACAGTCACAAAATCATAAGAGTCTAACGTCTCAATCATGTTGGTAGGAAGGTTGCATTGAGACAGATTTATTTCTCAGCCAGCTGGGTTTGAACAGAACAAAAGAGAGACATATGGAATTTTCACATATAGCCAGGTCCGGTCCGGTCCGGTCTTGGTGGCATCAGCCTGCCCCCGCACTGCCAGGTTTTGTTCACATACCCAACTCAAGAATGCAGAAGTTTCATGTTTTTGGGCCGGTGGGGAAAAGGTGCGCGGAGAAGTTCTCATGAAGCTGACTGCCGGAGAGCAGGTCCAAGAAAAAAATAAACGGTTGGCCGAACACGGAAAATTCACAAATTACCCAGATGTGAACACGATTAACCTACCAGGGCTAGGCCGGGCTGACCCAGATGTGAAATCCCTGTTAGTGTCTGTTTACAGTCTGTGAGCCTGTGAGGTTGCAACTAGTCTGTGACAAGCTAACGCTGCTGCACAGGCATTTGTTGTGCGACATGATCAGGCAACAAGCTCTACATCTGTGTAGCGTGATGAATTGTCCATTTCTGACCTATGCTCTATTTGCTCTGCCCAAGCAAAATCATACGTTTCTGACACAAGCCTAATCTACAAGATAGGGGCCAAGGCCACTCATGCTCTGTGCTCTTATCCAAACTGTTGCTTCCTCGGACAGCACAAGAAAGAAGAAAGAAGTCGAAGAACTCTTTCTCTTTAAATAATAATCAAATAGCTTTGTTAGTCCAAATAATCATGTGAAGCTCAATGTTCAATCAATCTGTGAAATGAGAATATTAATTACTTGATATTATAATCCTATGATAGTATTTTAATAAGTAATATAACTTTAAACTAGACACTAGACTGATCACACGTAATGCTAAAGTCACATGACACATTTCCTTTTTCTGATCCAATCAGAACCTTCCAGATCTGACGCGAGGCATGGTTTTGTTGGTGTTTGTATAATCCCCTTTTTTCCTGTCAAATTCTGATTCGACAGTAAATCGAAACATCCTAATTATAAAACTATGCCCCACGTCATCTTAACTTGAGTTCAAAATGTTCTAGAGAAGTTATCAGAGTGGCCAATCCGTAACTTTCCTCTTAAAGCCGAAAGAACCTAACGACAAGCTGGATTAAATCTGTTGCATGTTCCACCTGCTGCAACAGATCTTTCAGAATAAAAGCTGAACCATCACGACCCCTTCAGTGTCTCGCTGATGCCAATAAACTGTCGTGACTTGGGAGTAACTCAAGACTGAAAGAGTCGGCAACCGCTGCATATCTACAGGCGTCGTTCCAAGAGGGCCCGAGCTGGACCCCTGACATTTCACATCTAAACGGGGACTTCCGTTGGGATACAGAGACCGACAGATGGCATCTCAATGTGTGTTATAATCTCCAAACCAAAGCTTACAGCGAAACACCCTTTCACTCCCACTCAGAACTAATAGTCTCTCCGGATTTGCTGGTTCTGAACATATTCTCTCTCTCTCACACACACACACACACACACACACACACACACACACACACACACACACACACACACACACACACACACACACACACACACACACACACACACACACACACACACACCATCCTCAGTGTTACTCCACCTTAGTTACATCATTCACATAGTGTTTAAAGTTAGTCTTGTTCAATATGTTTAGAAATAAATCTTTTAACTTTTTAAACCTGACTCTCTCTTTCTTGGAGTTGATACGAAGCGTTGCTCAATCCCTGCAATACAAAGATCTGATCTTCTGGTTAAATTAACTCAAAGATCCATTAAGGTGATATTTCATATTTTATGATATTTCACATTCTATGGTTTCTAATTAAATGTAAGAACATCTTCTCTACATCTGTTTAAAGGGAAACTAGGCAAATGTTGGCTTTAAGCCCCCTCTCGTGTCCATTTGCAGAACTGAAAGCAAAACCTGTCTCCTCGCTGTGTATTTGTCTTTTCAACATCTGTCTACAGAAGCGATTCATCACTAAATCAAACATATCAGCTGTGTTCACGATCTAGGAGATGCATCTGTGATCATAGGGTGTCATTTTTGCTTCATTCTTACATATTGCACCTTTAAACAAGTCTTTATCATTCTATGTGTGATGCAAAACATGTTCATGAACATGTTCTACTCAGCCATGCCCAGAGCAGAAGCCTCCCTGAGCCTTGAGAGATGAAGGGTGATTCTTTGCTAATTTTCAGCCCTGAGGTTAATGGCCTGTATCTAGGGTTCTACAACCCCCCCAAGGTGCTTTACAACAAGCCAGTCATTCACTCATGCACACACACATTTACATGCTTGTGGTGATGAGTTACAATGTAGCCACAGCTGCCCTGGGGCACATTGACAGAAGTACGGCTGCTGAGCACTGATGCCATCAATTCCTCCGACCAAAACCAGCTGGCAAGGCGGGTTAAGTGTCTTGCTCAAAGACAGAACAACTCTTGCGATTCTCTTTGACAAACAGCTTCTTGAACCAAACCTTTTGTCAGGAATCTTGGTGTAACCTTTGACTCGGTTTTTGCCCTAGAATCTCATGTCAGTTCTCTGGTTCACTGTTTCTTTTATCATCTCAGGAAACCTAAAGGGTTCAAATGATGGCTAATCATTTCAAGAAACCAAGGAAGTCCAGTTGCCTTCATTTGAACCCTTTAGGTTACCATGACCAGGAACCTTGCTAAGCTGAGTCCCTTTGTGTCACATACTCAAAAGGAAACATATCTATGCCTTCTTCTCTTTATGCTCGGACTACTGCAACTCGTTTTTCACCTTCTTGTCCTGATTACATGTAGTTCAGAATCCCCGTGCCATGCCTTTGATTTATACCGGGTGCACGTGCAAGTTACAGCAGCGACGTGGTTTTGTTTCATCCTCCGTGGCATGTCACTCCCCATCGTGATTGTGTCAGACATGGAGCGACTGTGTCGTAGTTCACGTAGCTGAGCACTCGTGATCACAAAACCAGAGAACGGATGCAAACTATTTAAAATCACCCATTTTTTATGATTCATTTTTTAATCTCACCATCCACTCTCATAACTGACATTTCAGTCCATGCCTGCTCACACATAAAAAGGATGTGTTATGTCGTGTTTTGATTTTCTACTTCCAGGATAAAAGCCTGAAAAACCAATCATAGGTCTCAAAAGATGCAACAAGCACATGAGCTGTCACCAGTTATAGTTCCATAGTTAAGCAATTGCTAAATCTACATATGTATTTTATTTTGAAATTGTTCAGATGCTTCGTACTGATACCTTGTGTGATTTCCTGTATATCTCTATGTTTACGGCAGAGCTCGATGCGTCCTGGAAGCGTGTTGTGTCTGAGAAAAATAACCCAAACTTCACTTTAGCAGCACGGTGTGTAAACACGCTTCTGAAACCCTGTATGAAATGTACCACAGCACATCTGATGTAAACCAAACCACAGACTATAACGCTGATGCATCGCACCAGCTGCAACTAGTGTGTGCTCTGCTGGACTAAAATAATTCCTGAAGCCAAACTGTGATGGTTTCTATGTTTAAAGAAGCAGAAGAGATCTCTTTGGCAAACAAAATGATGCAAAAAGTAAGATTTGCATAATATGTTTACTTTAAGAAAACAGAAGACTGTCTTACCTCAGACCATTCCAGAGTGACCCACTTTGGTGGACAGGACTGATTATTGCAGGACTCTCTTTCGATTGGACGGTGAGTTAGACAATAGGTGTCCTCCAGTGTCTCCTCCTCAGCAGGACCAATCTTCCTGATGCACAAGACCGTCCTTGTCCTCGTGCCACCATCGCATGTCTTTCCACACTCGGACCAGTCACCAATAAACCACCTGCCAGAGAGGAGCAGAGATAGACGTGGTACTTAGTAACTTATTTTACAGCTCAGATGTAAGACTGTTAAAAAGGCAAAGCAGGAAACTGTCCCTAATACATCACAGTAACAGGAAAAACTCACATGAGTAGCTTTGTTTTTCTTCTTATATTCACTAACTATTCCCTTTTTTATGAATTCAACACATTTCTTGTCAAAAATGAATCAAACACACAGTGTGTGGATAATGTTTAATTCAATTCAATTCAATTCAATTCAATTCAATTCAATTCAAAAATACTTTATTAATCCCAGAGAGAAATTGATTGTTGTAGTAGCTCAGGATAATAATAATAATCAAGTCGTCAAAGAGTTGTTGTATATTACAATGGCTGTTGGCAGGAAGGATCTCCAGTAGCGGTCAGTGTTGCAGCCAAACTGAAGAAGCCTCTGACTGAAGACACTCTTCCGTTGTCGGACAGTCTTGTGAAGAGAATGCTCAGGGTTGTCCATCATTTTCTTGATTCTCTGGAGAATCCTTCTTTGCATTATCTCCTCCAGTGGTTCCACAGTCGTCCCCAGAACAGAACCAACCTGTTTTATTAGGCTGTTGAGCCTTTTCAGGTCCCTGCTTCTGATGCTGCTACCCCAACAGACGATGGCTGAAGAGATTACACTCTCAACAACAGACTTGTAGAAGATCTGCAGCATCTTGCTACAGACATTGAAGGACCTAAGCATCCTCAAGAAGTGCAGTCTGCTGTGTCCCTTCTTGTAGACGGCTTCGCTGTTCTTTCTCCAGTCCAGTCTGTTGTCCAGGTGAACTCCAAGGTATATGTATTCCTCAACCACCTCCACTTCTTCTCCCATGATGGAAACAGTGTTTGACTCCACCCTGTTTCTTCTGAAGTCTAAAATCATCTCCTTTGTTTTGTTCACATTCAAGGTCAGATGATTGTTTCCACACCGTGCCACAAGGCGCTCCACCAACTCTCTGTACTCAGCTTCCTGACCATCTCTGATACACCCGACAACTGCAGAGTCATCTGAGTATTTCTGTAGATGACAGGTCTCTGACTTGTACTGAAAGTCTCTGACTTGTACTGGAAGTAGGGATGCATCGATACCGATACCAGGAACCGATACCAATGCAGTTGCTTTAAAGTGGCTTCACTGTAACTTATCATTTCCGTTCACCTAATATTTTAGTTTTGTGATGATTTCTATTCATATATTTTACTTTGTATCTACCTCACAGTCTTCTCCTGTTGAAAGCTGAGAAGAAAATAAAATCTGTATTCCAAATCATTGCTTTTTTTGTGTGTGGTAGAAGTATCGGTATCGGTAATCGGTATCGGCGAGTACTCAAATCCAACTATCGGTATCGTATCGGTTTTGGAAAAAAGGGGTATCGTTGCATCCCTAATAATGTTTATAAGAAAATGCTAAAATATACATCTTGAACAAAATGATTAAAATCTACTTTAAAAACATGTTTATGATCTGATGAGTCCAGATGGACCCTGTTCCAGAGTGATGGTGCATCAGGGTAAGAAGAGAGGCAGATGAAGTGATGCACCCATCATGCCTACTTCCTTATTGTACAAGCCTGTGGGGGCAGTGTTATGATCTGGGCTTGCTGAAGTCGGTCAGGTCTAGTTTCAGCAACAGGATGTGCTCTAAGAATGAAGTCAGCTGACTATGTCCTGAATGACCAGGGTATTCCATCTTCCCTGATGGCACCGGTAGAAGCTTATCGAAACATGACCACAGCAAATGCGTGTCGTAATCAGAGCTAAAGGAGGTGCAACGAAATGTTAGAGTGCGTGACCTTTTTTTGGTGGTGACTTTTTTGGGGGGGCTGGGCAGTGTAGTTAAATGTAGCACGAGAGACTGCCGAGTAAAGCAGGTGATTGGTGTGAACTAGTGTGAACTAGGCAGTGGCGGTTCTACATGGAATTACTCCCCGGGCGAGGTCCCCTTTGAGCGCGCCCCCCAACTACCACCCCACCTGCACGCACACACGCATGCTTTCTACAAACAGGCATGTTTTATTAGAAGGACTACTGAACATTCATTTTTCTAAGTTGCACATATTTACATTAATTACTATAAAAGTTGTCAGAATGTAAAGCAATATACATTATATACTGTATCAAAATATATAGAATCAAATATACAAAAACAAACAACAACTAAATATTAAGAATATATGAACATAATAAATAATAAATATTCTAAATAGCAAAAATATTTCACACATAACAAACTAAAGATAATCACTACAGCATTGCACTTAGAACAGAAAACACAAACTAAAATTAAAACCCAACCTTGATGCAAAGTCATCGATAATGTCATCATATGAATTCTGCTCCCCTACTGAGTGATTGATACTAATCAGAGCCAGGTGAGTGAGCCGCCCCTGAAACATAGCTGACCTCAGGTATGACTTGATCACGTTTTGAAAACCTCCTCTCAGCTTGAGCCACAGTGACTGGCCGAGCAGTCCAAAAGTTGGGGTAGATCTCCAATAGATCTTTATCATGATCCATAATATTTTAGAATTGCCTCTGAAATTGTAATTTAAATTGACATAAAAAAACTGTAGACTACCAAAAATGCCAACTTTTACAGAACAAATCATGTAAAAAATAATCAGTGCAGCCATCTGCAATAAATAAACAGGATAGTTAGTGGTGACTTGGGAGTTTTCTTCTGCTTGTTTTATTTATTATTATGTGAACATGATCAACATGTGTTTGTTGTTGTTCAGGCAGGCCACAGGCTGCAGTGAGCATTTAACAAATCCTAGTTTGAATCAGTAAAAAACAATTCAAGGAATTTTTTTCTAACCATTTGAATATTCGTTTCAATATTTCAGCTCTATTAGCTCTGTTAGCAATTACTTGACCGAATTTAACTGTTAAAATCCCAGTTAACTGGTTCAAAAAATTTAAAACATGCATCATGAGAGCTTACATACCTTTATCTTTCTCCTCTTTTTTTTCTTTTTTTCCTGAATCGGGCACCTGGTGGTTTTAGCCTTTTATGTTCATCTCTTCTGTTTGGCTCTTGACTCAATAAGTTTCCTTTAGTCAGGACTAAACAATTTGACCTTGATGGGGGGGTGACCACAAAATCGTTTTGTTTTTCCTTTTTTTATTTGGTCATTTCACACAATCCAGAAAAACCTGAAAGAATGATAGGCCTGTGTTTATGATATTATGAATGAAATGAGCGTTAAATGGAAGAACATCAAGATGTGATTGACTTTAGCCATGTTAATACAGTTGATTCAGCCCCTACTCGCTCATTTCATTTGGGAAAGACCCAGAGGTGAATTCCCCCGCCGCGCCCCTCCCCTTCCTGTTCGTCATACACACACACGGTGCACCTGAACCCTCTCAGTCAGCAGAAGCACCTGCAGCTGCAGGGGGCGCCAACTTGCTGTTTCCAATCCAGACGCTGTCATATGACAGATAGAATAGAAAACCTCGGTGCGGCGCAGATTTCTTTCTTTTTTATTTTTTTACTCAGTGCTTGTGCGCCCCTTTTGTGTCATGAAAAAATGCCACCCCGGGCAACGGCCCTGTCTGCCCGTGCCTAAAACCGCTACTGGAACTAGGTCCATCACCTCGCAGATACACCTAAACCCTAAACGTAGTGTAATTAAGGCTTCACAAATACTACGACCGTTTTATTCAACCCATCTGTCCATAAACTAAAAATTACCATAAAACAACAGCTCTCCAAACACATCCATCCTGTGCGATATTACATCATCTGTAGGAATGGACACAGAATTAACAACATGCTCAAACATCTGTGTCAGCTTTCATTAGCTGAGCCTATAAACCCCCGGCTATTCTACAACAATAGTGTTTACACGGCCTCCTTCAGACAGGCTCTCCTCACCGCTGAGGTCTGTTTGTCTTCCTTAACAAACACAAATGCCATGTGTGCGTTATAACTCAGTACACAAACGGCTCTAATGAAAACAAATCAGACACCAAATGTCTGAGTCCACACATGTAAATGATCTAAGCTCATAAATTAGATTTATGATAGTATTGTTAGAAGGAGGTTAAATTAGAAGCCAAGTTCACAGAGAAACACTATTTTTTTTTTACTTTTGAAATATGATCGGTCACTCTTACCCCTTCTTTCCACCGGAGCCGTCAGCAGCACGTTACTGCAGCAGCACGTCTTGCTCGCGTAAGCTGCTGCTTGGCCCTTCCCACAAGACGCGAAGCAGCAGGGGAGCAGCTGTCACCGACAGAGCACGAAGTCACACAAGTGACTTCGTCAGTAAACACAACAACAAGCAGGAGAAAACTACAACATGGCTCCAAAAGGTTTGTGTTTTATGTTCTGTCCGTTTTATAATCGCCAATACGGACCTGAAAAACAAAGGAGACCGCTAGCTAGGTGATAACTTCTCACGGGGCCGCACAGTAAGTAACTTTTTTTTTAAGTAAAGCAACCGGAAGGCAGTATGTTTCTTTATTCTGAAAATGTCGGAAAGCTTCGCTCCGTTTCCGCGTCCGATTTCCTTCCTGTCTTTCCTTCCGCAAAAATGTCAAACTTGACCTGTTTCAGAGGCGTCGTGCGTAGAAAATAGAACCGGCGCGTAAGGGCCGCGACATGCTGCTCCTGAGACGCGGCCGACTCGCGCTGCTGACGGCTCCAGTGGAAAAGGTTCTGTTGACCACAGCGGTTCCTATCAGCAGCTATGACGTGCTGCTGCAGTAACGTGCTGCTGACGGCTCCAGTGGAAAGAAGGGGTTACCCCTGCTTTCCACAGGAGCAGTTGCATATGTGTCCAAAATTACACACACACAGAGTTATAAACTGGCTGTTGGAATATGCTATCTTCACATTGGCTCTATAACCAATCCATCACTGAATCAACCAACTTTATGTATATGGCGCCTTCGCTTGGTCCAAGGGCCAAACAAAGCGCTGCGCAGCAAAAACTGGCACAAAATGACATAAAAGAGTAAAAACATATAAAACAATTCAAAGATCAGACAAAAACTTGTAGTTAAATCTGGATGGGATCTCACAAGAATGCAACAACCCCCATTAGCGTGACTCCTCGTCAGTGAAAACCATTGAATAAAAGTGTGTTTCAGACGGCTCTTAAAATTGCTGAGGGGCTCACTTGACGCCTGAAGGCAGCTCATTCCAGAGCTTCTTCCCCAGTACTGAAAAGGCATGACCCCCTCATGATTCGAGTCTGTGCTTGGGCCCGACCAACAGTCCCTGCTCCACCGACCGAAGGGGCCTTGATGGAATGCGAGGATGAATCAGATCTGATAGATATCGTGGAGCCAACTCGTTTAAATGTTTCAAAACAAACACCAGAACCTTAAATGAAACTCTAAAAAGACGAATGCCATTTTAATCTCAACTCAAGCACTTATCAGGCCTTTTATAAGCATCCAGTTACTAATACAGGACAAAGTGCGACATACTCTGGAGGACATGGCTCAGTGTTGCAGTCTCTCTGGTTCTCCGGGGGTTTGCCGTCCTGGTCACAGTAGCTGTTTTGCACCACAGAGTTGTCGTCCAGCCTCTTACACACCATCTCCTGCCTTTGGGAACCTGCAGTGTGAAAAACACCGATCAGCAAAGCAGCACACATCTTTAAAAGCTCTGAGGCCACTTGTCGAGCCGAGCGCTGTGTTTGAATGGGGATGGTATTGCTTTCGTTCTGTAGTGGATCCAGACATGTACATTCCTGATTCTTTCCAGGATATGTTGGCAAATCACTTTTACAGAGCAGGGAGCTCTTTACTTTGGCTCCTGTTGGGAAACGCGAGGACTACCGTATCGGTGTCACACCTCCCACTGTGTGTGGCTGCAAGTGTTTTTGTGCACACGCGTGTGTGTGTGTGTGTGTGTATGCCCCATACCAACTAGGACTAGGTCTGTGTGGACCCTCATGGGACATATCCACTGGCAGACTCGTCTGGCAGATGTAATGAGATATGGATGTGTGTGTGTGTGTGTGTGTGTGTGTGTGAGAGAGAGAGAGAGAGAGAGAGAGAGAGAGAGAGAGAGAGAGAGAGAGAGAGAGAGAGAGAGAGAGAGACAGCATAAAATATAAAATCTGTGCTTTGAGTGAAATACACTTAAGATAAATAGTGCAAATCTTGTAGTAAAACAGTTTCAGTCATAAGGCTGTCAAAAAGTGTGTGTTTTTGCTAATTTTATTGCACGACTGATATATTAAACAACACTTCATTATTAGCTGAGCTTGCACTGTAAAATAGGAGGAGATGTTTTACAGATTTAAGATCTGCACGGTTAGAGAAACACACAGCTGAGAGACATCAAATCATTTGTGTCAACAATGCAAAGGCATGTTTACGGTGCTAAAGGGCCAAGCGTGCTTCCCCTATTGTAGGAACAGTCTCAGACTTCTTCTCTGGATTTGGAAGTCCTCCCTGTGAAAAACCCACACGCTTATTCAGTCATGCTTTTACTAAATATTACAAACCCCCGTCCAGGCCATACTTGACAACTGGGAAGGAACACTATTTATTGTTACACGAAACCCATTGCTTTTGGGCTAAAAGGTTTGGTTTAGTCATTCTTGAGGCCGCGGGCAGCGTTTCAGTGCGGTTTCAGATTTTAAATGTCTGACTTTGTAGGACTTAGGAAGAGTGGCTGCATTTCTGTCCAGCACTGGTAAACCAGAAGCTATGCAGAGCAGCTCGTTCTCGAAACAGACACCATATTCATTACTCTGGCTTAAAATATAGAACGTATACATATTGAATTTATTACAGGGTTGAATCTTCTGCTATAAACTAATGATTCTGGAAACCCTTCTCAGATTAGGAGTTGGATGCTGGCTTTCTGCTCGCTGTTTTGCAGAATTTGCCTAAATGCTGGTTGAGGTACATTTACAAAATTACAGACAAACATGAGATTTAAAATAATAGATTTTTCAGAAGGTTAGAGATATTCAAATGAAATGAAGTGCTTTAATGTGTAAAGTACATTTATTACCTTTACTGTACAACAGGGGATACATAGATAGATAGATGACAGATAGATAGATAGATAGATAGATAGATAGATAGATAGATAGATAGATAGATAGATAGATAGATGATAGATAGATAGATAGATAGATAGATAGATAGATAGATAGATAGATAGATAGATAGATAGATAGATAGATAGATAGATAGATAGATAGATAGATAGATAGATAGATAGATAGATAGATAGATAGATAGATAGATAGATAGATAGATAGATAGATAGATAGATAGATAGATAGATAGATAGATAGATAGATGGTTGATCGATTTAAAAACAAAGTGCTACTTTCTTCTGTGTTTTAGTGCCAGTAGAGACCACTGGGGCACTGGGAAGTGGAGTTGTGTGCTACAAAACAAAATAAAATGAATAAATAAATAAATAACTGGGTCAAACTAGTGCAACAGTTCTCTGTTTGAACAGCTTGTGTGAACACAAACAATCTCAAGATTTGGCAACGTGTTTTGGCAGCTTTATTGTTGTCATTAATTTCTGGAGGTCTGGCACCAGGAATACCAACCAATGAATTGTTTCAGGTGTTATTTTCTCCACTTCTCCTCTCTGTAAGCACATGTTGTGGTGTGCACCAGCGTAAGGCACTGCACTGTTTCTGTTGTCATGGACCAGTCAGAACTGCAGAATTTTACTTCAGTGGTGTCAGATGGATTCAAAGTGTTACAGCCCGGATATCCACCAAACCCATAAATTCATATGTTGTGATATTTCGTGTATGAGTGCGAGTAGATATTACTTCTACGCACCAAGCAGTTTAACTAAGGAAGCACTGATCTGAATATTTGAGCCAATATCAATATTCAATATTAATATTGCTGTTATGGCCAATAACCAATAATTATGAAGTAAAAGTATGGATGACCGATAGTATTAGTCTACCATTATTATCGGCTGATATTAGCATAAAAATGTGATATGAGAAATGATCGATATCGATTTTCACTCTTAATGACACAACCTTTACAAACCAAGCTCATATTATACATCAGACTTTGTAGCTTATTCTGCGCTACTTCAAATGTCAGAATGTGACTAATCTAAGATATCGCTTTTGAGATGTTTGTTTGGCGGTAGTCACGTGTCCTGTGTAGTAGAGTTAATCAAGATGGTCGGATGGAGAATTTGATACTGCAGCTGTTGAAGACTAAAGAAATAAGGCACTTTGTTCCATGGCCTAACTTAGTAACTAATAGAGCTGCTTAGTAACTAAATATTGGGCATATTTTGCACAGATAATGTTAAAAGTTTAAGTATGCATGATAGGATACGGTGTAAGTCTAGGTGTCTTGACATTGACTGTGGTGTCCCGCAAGGGTCGGTACTCAGCCCCAAATTATTTATTTTATATATATATAAATGAGATCTACACAGTTTCAGATTTAATTAAATTCATCGTGTTTGCTGATGATACAAATATTTTGTGTTCAGCAGAAGATATACAGTAACTGGTACAACGGTCCAGAAAGAGTTGAGTAAGCTTAAGAATTGGTTTGATAAAAACAAACTGTCGTTAAATGTCAGCAAAACAAAGTTTATGTTATTTGGAAATAAAGGAAATGATAATGAGATCAATTTGACTGTTAATGAGATAGCCCTTGAAAGAGTGTATGAAATTAAGTTTTTGGGGATCTAGATTGATTATAAGCTCAGTTGGAAGCCATACATAAATGATAAATTACCCGCACTTGTATAGCACCTCTCAGAGCAAGGACTCCAAAGCGCTTTACACTACAGTGTATCATTCATCCATTCACACACTGATGGTGATGAGCTACAATGTAGCCACAGCTGCCCTGGGGCGCACTGACAGAAGCGAGGCTGCCGAGCACAGGCATCACCGGTCCCTCCAGCCACCACCAGCAGGCAAGGGGGGTTAAGTGTCTTGCCCAAAGACACAACAGCAGAATTCTCTGTCCGGAGCCAGGATCGTACGTGCAACCTTCCGATTACTGGACAAGCCGCTCAACCTGTTGAGCTACTGCTGCCCCACACATAGAATATGTGTGTTCTAAATTAGCTAGAAGCATTGGGATAATAAATAAAACAAGGTATTCTCTACCACAAAAAGCACTACACACACTTTACTGTACAATGATACTACCACATGTATTATATTGTGTCGAAGTATGGGGTAATACTTATAAATCAAATTTATTAAAGATCTGTGTACTCCAAAAAAGAGTGGTAAGGATAATTACTGATTCAGGATATAGATATCATACAACTCCATTATTTTACAATTGAAGGTTACTCACATTTTTTGACTTAATTCATTTCAAAACTGTCCTAGTCCCGTATAAGGCCATGATGGGTGTGCTACCGGGTAATTTGCAAAGGATGTTTAAAACCCGAGAAGAAGGTTATCAACTAAGGGGCATTCAAAACTTGATTTTTTCCATTATATCGAACGACTATGAAAAGTGTGTGTGTATCTGTGTGTGGTATCAAACTGTGGAAGAAATTTGATGTGACTTTGAAATCATGTAAAAGCATTATATTATTTAAAATGCAGTACAAACAACTTATATTTGACTCATACATAAATAGTAAGTGATATAAATGTAATTGATAGAGAATGATATATTCTATTTTGTTGTTTGTTTTGTTTTAATTTGTTTTCCTTTTCTGTAGATTAATGTGAACAACTGTTTTGTTACTGTCATGTCGTATGGTGATGATAGAATGACCTGCATGAAAAAAGTTTTCAACTTTGTATTTGCTAATGTGAACAAACGTTATTTGAGTTAACTGAATTGGGGCTCGACTAGATAAGTTTTTGCTTCTTCCAGTCCCCTCTAAAACTGTTTCTCATTGCTGTATGTTTTGTTTTGTTTTCTTTTGTTTTTTGTATTTTTGTTTATTTTTATTCATAAGCATATGCAAATGTTAATCAATATTTTGTCTTATTTTATGCACTAGGAATATGGATGAGCGCATGTGCAATTTTATGTTTTTTTTTTCAATGGTTTGAGATAGATAAATTTTAAAAAGTTACCTAAAATAGAGTTTTTCTTTATTTTTATTGGGCTGACCCTGCTTACATTGGTATTGGTTTATGGAAATTAAGAGTTAAACTATATCGATATATCGGATATCGTTAATGGAGCAGATATCAATCATCCTTAATAATTTATCTATATTTATATAATTAAAAACATCAACATGACTTCCTCACCAAGAACAAAGCAATAAAAAAATTCCATTTTTGCATTTTTGATTTGACTCAAAAGGGCTTCAGTTTAATGTTATTTAATAATAGAAATAATATAATTATTGTATTAGTGTTAAGGTAATAATAATGCTACGTCTTTCCTTCAAACAACTCCATATTCATTAGAATTGTTTTACTATTTTTATATGGTTAAGTTCATTTATTGCTTCAATGTGATGCAAGAAATCCTCCAGGCAGGTAAAGGGGTAATACATACATTAACACTTGTGAGATGTTTAATATATCACCAGCGCATTTTTACCTCTTCCCCTCCCAAAACAAATACACAAACGGCAACTAGATGAAAATAAACATCAGTTGTTAATATCAGCAAAATATGTAAAAAATAACTAACATTGGCCATTTCCCAATGTTGATGCTGATATTTCATCTATCCCTAAATTTGGAAGCACTTTTCAATAAGCTACAACCCAACAACAATCATTCACCATAGTGAAATCTGATTCGGCTGGGGCGTCACGCGACATGTCACACCCCCCTGCAACTTGGACTTAGTAGATCTGTAGTTTTTGAACTTCTTATAAAGATTTCTGGAAGAAAAAGGGGTGGATGTGTTCTCTGTTGTTAACACTCTGTCAACAATTGCAAATCAATGATTGAGACAATAGCATTGCTATTAACGAATAACAATTAGTGATTGGTTGAATTGTGTTTCAATGCAGGTAAATGGTAATTGGTCAGTATTTGATATAGCACCTTCTAGGGCTCAACAACCCCCCCCCCCCCCCCCCCCCCAGGCACGTTACAACACAACCAGTCACCTACCCAAGCACACACATTCACAGTCTGATGTTGATAAACTACAGTGTAGCCACAGCTGCCCTGGGGCGCACTGACAGAAGGGAGGCTGCTGAGCAATGGTGCCCCTTGTCTCTCCAACCACCATCAGCAGGCAAGGCAGCGTGTTTTGCCCAAGGACACAACTACTGCTACAGTTGAGGCTTGAACCAGCAATCCTTCGGTTAGGGGTGGACACTTAAAGTGACAGTGTGTATTTTCCCTGGCGATAGGGGGCAGTATCTACCTAAATCATTGCAAGCAAATAAGATCAAATAAGACCTTACCAACAGATGGCCACTAGGGTCAAAAATACCTAGGAGTGCAACCTCCAACAAAAAGACAAGCACATCAGACTCGCTTTCATCACTGGCAACAAGTGAAGAGGTAAATGTGTAAAACAAAGTTTATGAATAGTGAAAGTTTTGTAATCATTTGTTACAAATCAGTAAATGTGTTTTGTCCTCACAGGCTTCCGTGGAAGGAAACATGACATCCAATATGGCGTCGCCCAGAGACTTAGACCCGCTCCCATACATTTTAGAACAGATGTTTATGGTTATATGTTGTGAAACTGCCAGTATTTTTCAACAATTGGGCATCTTTTATTTCATTTACAACAATACTTCGATGGATATTTATATATATATACATATATAAGGAGATTAATGGTAAAAACTACACATTGTCACTTTAACCTCTTTGCCACCATCAACTGGTTAGCTTAAAATCATCAAACTTACTCCCAAGCCATCCCAAATTATGTTCATTTGCCCTTAGAAAACTTCTGTTTCAATCAAAACCATCCAGTTGTACTAAAAACTGCTCAACCTGGCACCACCGAACAGAATGTGGTTGTGTTGATAAAACGGAAATCACTGGAGAAGGCAGACTTCGTTGCTGTATACCATTGCTGTTGGAGTTGATGACAACAGACAGCATCCACTTGTGTTGAAATATACCTAAAGCATCAAATTGTAGCAGACGTCCCCGTGTGATGGATGAACTGTTTTTTTATATAAACTACACCCGATGAGGCTCGCCTCTCAATGAGTCTAAATGACAACATCGTCTGCAAAAGGCAGAACTTTAATCCAAGTCCTCTCAAACTGGACCCCTCCAAATCTGTGCTCATAAACTATGGTTATTGTCTGAAAGAGACTCCTTTGAGCCACGCTAGAGATTAAAGACTAACTCATTAGTTGTTGCTTTGACTCACCACCAGCACAGGTAGCTGAACATTCAGACCAGGGCAGGTGGTTCCAGGAGAAGCCCACCTCATTGTCCCCACTCCCTGTGCGCTGAATGGGCACGTTGAATCTGTAGCGTATTCCCAGGTTTTGCTCTTGAAGGAGAACCTGCAGGGGGCAGCAGTAAGGAAAGGCTGTCATATTCATCCAGAACACCCCACAGGTAAATAATGTAGAAATAATCTCAGTCTCTGCTACCAGCAGCTAAGTTAAGCCTTGGGCTTAATACTGTGCATGCATGCATGTGAACATTAGTGTGACACATTTCAGCCATCTGCCATTCTGATAAAACTTAAAGATTTACTAAAAAATGCAGAAAAACAAGTGCACATGAATTTATAATATTTTTGAAGTCAAGACAAGTCACCAATAAATGTTTTTGCTAGGAATGTTATTTTATTTATTTATTTTTTGTTGAGAAAACAGTTTTTCAGTAATGAGCTTGACCCTAAACTACATTTAGCAGCCGAAATGCAAGGTAGATGAAGATTATAGTAACATTCAAGCTACAACTTTTACATTGATGTAGTTTTGTGCTTAGTTTGAAGTATTCTTATTTATTGGCAGTAACGTAGTGAAGAAGTTTTTCTGTAGTTCATTTGTTGATTGTCACAGGAAAGAATCACTCTTTTAAAGTCTTTTTTAATAATGAATCAGTTTAATAATTACACTACATCTGCAGCTGTGGCCCCCACTCTGGAACTTTCTCCCACTGAGCCTGAGATCAGTGGACTCAGTGGTTTCCTTTAAAAACAGCTGAAAACTCATCTGTACAGGCTGGCTTTTGTCTGACCTTCTGTTGATTTTTCCTCACTCTTCTCATGCTGCTACCTCTACCATTTTCTGCCTTTCTCACGATCCTGTGTTGCCTTTTTTTTTTATATCCGTTTGTTGCCCTCCTTCTCATTTTTCTGTTAAAATATATTTAAATGTTTGCCTCTTTGATCATATTTTTTTTAAATATAACGCTCCACCTGAGAGAATAAAAGTGCAATGCTTGTGTTCGGCATTCAGACATAAATTCTGAGCCGGACAGGGCACGATAAAAAATATATATATTTTGAAAAGCATTTTATATATTTTTTTATCTTATTTTTATTTTATGTCCTCATTAAGCGCCTCGTGACCTTTATCTTAAGAGGCGCTACATAAAAAATGTTTTGTCTTCTTCTTTTAATATATTGTATTTATCTGTTGTAGAATTGTTTGATTTCATGAAGAAATAAAAATACCACACAGTATAAATTTATATAAAAAAACAACTTCAAAATTAAGCAAGTGTCAATATAAAAATGTTTGGTTGTGAAAAATAGTTGTTCTGTTTATGTTTGCATTTTGGATCAATGCTGTTGGCTCATTGATTTTATAATCAATGTATTTAGGTATTGTTCCACTCTAGATTTACCATGACAGCCAGGTTTTCAGTTGTAGGTCCCAGAGCCTCTAAGGTCTCTGGCTCATCCGAGGGTCTCCTGTAGTGGAAGGAAGTCCCTGCTATGTCAAACTTCCGGGGCCAATCAATGGTCCACGCTCCGTTGATGTAATAATCGTCTTGTTCAGATTTTAAAGCTAAATGATCACAAAAAAAGAAAAAGAAAAAAAGGTTACAGAGAAATTACAAGCAGAGCGTCTCCCATTGCATCATCAGATCTCGCTCTCATCTTCATCACCACCAGCCTCCCTGGCATCCCCGTCAACTTAACTAAACTACAAAGACACACCTTCCCATCTGCACATACAATTTCAGACAAGAAAAAGTGTGTTCAGGTGAAAGGCTTCTGTGTGGTTGCCAAAGCAAAAGTTAGTCTCCAAGCACAACAAATCTGAAAATACCTACTTTCTGTGCATTGAAATGGTGCCAGAATAAGGAGAAACAATCCAAGCGTTCACTCTTCTGACGTTCTGGCTCTGCAGATTCTCTTCAGCAGCATTTACGTAGAACAGCTGAACAAGACGTAACCGCTCATTCACATTTCACATACACAGTTTCTATCAAGCATCCATTCTCAGCACATCTGGCACCGATTGTGGGCATTACCTCTTTTTTTCTGTCTTTGCTCAAGCTGTCACGTGTCTTTCAGTCTCTGTACAGTCTCACAGGGACTTATAAAAAATACTCAAGCGTCTCTGACCTAAAAAGCAAAGATCCAGCGAATGCTGTGTAAGAAAAATATTTTTATTATCACTGAGGTCACAGATATAATTCATAATAAAGTTAAAAAACTGCTTTGCCAGGAAAATCCAATCCAAGACAACAGCCAAAAGTGGAGTCTTTAAACTCTGATGAATGAACATCATCTCCTCCATAATCCTGGCAGACCAACATCTGTCACCACGGCCCAATGAATCTGGTTTCAGAGTAACTTCAGTTCTCCGTCAACACCGTCCGCCGTAAATTCAGCACGCTGTCACGTCTTTTTCTGGGTAATGATAAGACACGGGACTGGCTTAATTGAATCCGGTTGTCTAATTGTTGGGCTTCTGACACTGCTAGTGTTGCAAATACTTTTTGTTTAGTCTGGACCAAAGTGGTTGAGTCTGGTGCCAAGGCAGTCATCACACAGATCCGGGGGGCTTTGCCTTTCTTTTTTTAGTCATGTTTTATGGCCTCATGTTAAGCAAGAGAAGATTAGATGATGGCATCTTCTAATTTGCTCTTGACACAGATAAATGTAGCTGACACAGAACTGAAAGGATAATGTGAAACAGGCTGATGTTGCAGACTTTTATCACACTGCAGTGAATTAACAGGCTCTGCAGATCAGCGGATTGCCAGTGAAACATGACTAATAGATACCAAACACGTCTGGCCACATGGGTGAAAATGTTCTTATTTTGTGACTCAGCTTTTACTCGGATATTTATGACGGCGTATTAGAAGCGCTGAAGATGAAAAATAAGCAAATGGAGCTGAGGAAAGAAATTTCATCCAGAGGCAAAAATATCTCAGCAAGTCTTTTTCATTGGTTCATTAAAACCAATAAAAGACACATGTGACCGACAGGAATCTGACATTATAACATGACCAATCTGTGTTGTTTGAAGACTTAACAGAGCGTGCACACTGGAGGGAACGCGTTCTCCGTGAGGAAGAAATCCTTCGGCCATGCTGGGATTTGGGACACTTTGTGGCGCGACAGACAAACCTCGTGAATTCAATTCCAGTTCCTTTTATTTTACAACTACGAGAACCCCCCAGAACCACTTCCTGCTCTCCGGTCATACATGCAACCAGACTGCATGACAGGAACTTCTCCTCTGCCCCAACCGCATTTATAACCTCTGCAACTTGTTTGGTTTTGTTGCGCTTCGGCAGCCAGTGTCTCGATCTCGCTGTCAATAAAGTATATATTTTTAATTTTTTCTGGAAAAAAAATAAAAAACAGGGAATTCCTTCATGTGCTGAGGACATTGCGTGACCAAAAATTGTTAATTGAGGGCGTTTCTGTATGTAAATGATGGTGAACGGACACGAGCACCTGGGTACGCACAGGTGGGATTTATCATCAGACAGGGGAGGACTGGCCTATCTGGCATTCTGGCACTGTCCAAGTGGGCCGCTTAGCCAAGCGGGCTGCTTGCCCAGCTTGGGCCGACACTACTCCACAGTTGGTAATCTGCAGAACATTAGCTACATGGTAACCCGAAGCTAACAGAATTTTTCCAGGCGTTTTTAGCAAAAGCGATGGCGTTGGAGTGATTTTACTGCGTTAGCATGTAGCTAATGTCCCGCTGATCTCCGCCCGTGGAGAATGAGCTGATCTGGAAGGCCAGGGCTCCCGGTCGCAGCGGTCTGGCCCTGCTTGTAATTTAACAGTCCCAGTCAATACTAGATCTCACATTCGGCCTAGAGACGAGTCCGCGGGCGGCAACACCCCCACCCCCACCGCTCTCCCAATGGGGAGGGCCGACGATTCGTAAAAATGCCAGGGCTGAATTTTGGTCCCTGTCCACCCGTCATAAGACGATTGCGGAGGAATGTGCGTACGAGAGGCCACCGCACGTTTCATAAATCAGGAGTAAACATCCTAAATTTTATTTGTAGGAAGGAAAATAGGAACATTCATACAAATGTTTTGATAAACGTTGTTTGCCCGTTTTGGGCATGTGAAAGCGCTTTATAAATAAAATTGATTTGATTTGATAAATGAGGCCCCTGGATGTTCTCTGATTAAGGAAAATCTTGAATTTACGAAAAAAGTTAATTTTTCCTGACAGTAGCTGAAGCAAAATGCAAAAAGCAGTATTGTGTTATGCCAATCACAACGCCCTATCGGTTTGGTGGCTGAGAGGATGCGATGGTGTCAGGCGCGCCCCGCTGACTGACATCCATAGTGGTGAGTACGTCACGTTGTTTGTTGTCCAGTAGCATGCGGAGAACGTTTGGAAGACAACCACAGAATCCGTCCCACGAATGAGCTCTGTCTATGGGTCATGGCCAGACTGTATATTCACATATATTGGATGGATTGCCAGTCAAAAACTTTCTATCAACAATTTTTTATATTGTAGATGCAAATATTTCTAAGAAAATTATTTCTAATATTTAGGATTGATTTTTTTTATTATTTACCAAAAAGCAGGCATTCCCTGCAAACAGTCAACGTCGCATGGATGCGAGGATCATGTCTATAATGAGAGTCAGACCACGCAGTGGTGTGACTCTCATTTACTAAACTACACTCCTCTCACTCAGCGCCGAGTTCACTCAGCTATTTTCTGACGTTGAAGCCCAGAAACGGAGATTCTAGCCGCTCAGTAATGTGTTCACGACTGAAAGAGAAAGTTTTCCAACTAACGTCCAGACAGAGCTGATATAACTCCAGCGAACAGCGACACGCTCAAACCAGCACGGCTCTGTGGTTGCTGTCGTTGTGTTTCCTCCCCGACACACAACAACGTGGTCAAGCTGCTCAGACATGTTCATCAGCACAAACCTATGTGAGCACCTGTTGTCATCTAATGTTGTCATTATTATGATGAAGATGAACAAAACAACAGGAGTCTCCTCCTCAGCTCAGATCAGCCCCATGATGCAGGTATCTGGCTGGAACAGGTGAGCATCACAGTAAACCAGTGGAACAAACTGAGCTTTAAATATGTTGGTTTTATGCTCTTTTTCTGCTCCAAAACATGAAAGTTAACAGGTGAGATGTTGCATTTTCATTTAAGATAAAATGATATTTTTATTTTGTTGTTGGCTCGTGAGAAAAGATTTAAAAGATTTCAAGATTTAAAAGATTTGAAAAATGCTGATTATACCACAAGTAATGAATACCACTGATGCCTTTTATTTAAAACTGACTTGTTCGTGTGTAATTTGGTTATTCCACAATCAGTGTTAATGCAGAAATAAGTTTGTTTCCAAATTTAAAGGTTCAAAATTGCATATATGTTGATAAAGAAAATGTGCAAATTTGCCATCACTTTTTCAAAAAATATTAAGTTTGGCCCTCGACTCCGTCACAGAGTTTCATTTCGGCCCCGTGTGAGTTTGAGTTTGACACCCCTGCTCTAAAACGTTTTGGTTTTGGTCCCACTCTTATCTCTTGGATTAAACTATTGTATACTTCACCATTGGCACAAGTTCGTACAAATAATTGTTTCTCAAAGCCTTTCTCCCTAGGTCGCGGGACTCGCCAGGGGTGCCCTCTCTTTCCATCTTTGTTTGTAATAGCAATAGAACCGTTGGCGGCAGCCCTTAGGGCGAGTGCCATGCAAGGCATTCAACGTGGCGGCTGTGACAACAGAGTGTTGTTGTATGCGGATGATCTATTGATCTTTATGTCGGACCCAGATAACTCCATGTCTCCAATTCTTTGCTGAGGGACTTTGGACAGATATCCGGATATGAGCTTAACTTTGATAAAAGTGAAATCCTTCCGATTAACTCAGCTGCGACGGCATACCCACTTTCTAGTCTGCCCTTTAAGGCTGTCCCGCAAAGTTTTAAATATTTGGTATCCATGTAACCAAGGACTTCTCAAAACTTTTTAAAACTAACTTTGAACCTCTGTTGGAGCAGTTGGCTCAGGATTTGCAGCGCTGGTCTATGCTGCCTCTTTCTTTAGCAGGAAGGATTAGCTGTATTAAAATGAACTTTTTGCCAAGATGCCTGTATCTCTTTCAATGCAACCCGGTGTTCATTCCAAAAAGTTTTTTTTCAGATTCTTGACAGTTCTATTTCACAGTTCTTATGGAACAAAAAACCTCCCAGAATGCGCAAGAGCCTTCTACAGAAAAGAAAGGACCAGGGAGGCCTTGCCCTTCCACATTTTCAGTACTATTATTGGGCTGTTAATATTCGCACGATGCTATTTTGGTGTCAGACCAAATCTACAGAGCCAATTTGGCTGCAACTGGAGGAGGCCACATCTGACTCTGCCTCTTTGCTCTCTCTCCTGTGACTCCCTTCAAATGTTAGCCCGCATTTGTACACTAGCAATACTATAGTTAAAAACTGTCTTAAGATTTGGTCTCAAATGAGGTGTCATATTAAAACCCAGGGTATACCTTTGCACTCACCGTTTGACCAGAAGAAGAAGATCCCCACTGATGGCTTCATTTGGGGTGCTACCTGCTGGTCACTCCTTGCCATCTCACTTTGCTGATCTGGTTGCCTCTCTTACATTATTGGCAAGGAGAGTTATCTCAAACTGACTATGCCAAAATTTCTAGGCTGTTCCAAGACCATGTGACCTCTGTGACACTCGACATGGACACTTAACCTTAGCCTTGTAGAGCTATCGCCGGCATAGCCACACGTTGGTTGCCTATTTGTTACCGCAGCGCATAAGGGTTCTATTTATTTATTTTTTTATTTTTTTTATTTTATTTTATTTTAGTGTGTAGGTATGTGGATGTGATGTAACTGTGGAAAAAGTTATGAATAAATCATATACAAAAATAAATAAATAAAGGAATGTATGCCTTGTAAGTTGCACTCTAGGGAAACAAATCAATGGTGCACCATTTTCAGGAACTAGAAGTGAGCCCCATCATGGCTGAGCTTCAGATGACAGGATGAATCTTTTATCCTGATATTTAGACAAATCGACTCCGACTGGATAACAACAACGCGACCGCTGACTCTGTTTGCTCCGCAGCTTTGATGTTTTTATCTCCACTAATAACACAATGAGTTCTGCTTTGTGGTAGAGTTGCTAATGCTAACAGTTAGCTTCTACTAGCTAAGATGTTCTCTGCTGTTTCCTGGATGTTAAAAAACACAACAGCTTTCCCTGTCGAGAGTCAAGATGGGTGAGTCTGTGGTTGTTAAGTGACAGTGTGATGTAGATCTGTCAGGCTTTTCAAATCCTTGAGTTTTCAGTCAGAAGCTAATGCAGGAGATATGTGTAGGAGACTATTTTCATGTTCAGCCTGCATGATAAACTCAGAGTGACCCATCATAATCAGAAATAAGATTCAAAACATTTTTTTCAGTGTTCCACACTTTTAAAAACACCATTTCTGTGCATGGGGGAGTAGACACGATGACCTTTAACCTGTTTTGAAACTTTTATTTCGTGTTTCCTATCTGAGTAAATTGAGCTTGTTTTTACCTTTGCTGACATGTTTTGGCTTTTGCTGTAGCCTTCATCAGAGCACCGCCAATGTTGGTGGTGTCACTTCTGTTTATCTGCGGGCAGCAGAGGGCGATATTACCCTCTGCTGCCCGCGCCTTCTCCGTTGATCACCAGGTCTCATGACAATACAAAAGATGGATCAAAAAACCAATTGAAATACGGTGATGTGGAACTAGGACCATGAACAGGGACGAAAGCTATCGTCCTCTGCTGCCCGCAGACAAACAGAGACGGAAGTAACGCCACCAACTTTGGTGGCGCTGGAGGCTACAGTGGAAGCTGAAACATGTCAGCAAAGGTAAAAACAAGCTCCATTTACTCAGTGTTTAGTGAAGAACCAGAACAAATAGGACCTTTAACCCTTCCCAGATTCATAAGCAACAACAGTGGTGGTGCTTGTCCTCCTGGGCATTGGGTTAAAACATGCCTGTATGCTCCAGACCAGAAAAATGACATATACTTTTTAAGAGGTGCCTAAACTGATGAGAATCCATTCATTGAGTGCTTTGGTGCTAAAAATAAGCAAATCGTATTTATGTCCAACTTTGCTGCTGCATACACATAATAGTCTGTATACAAACATTCCCGTTGTAGATGCATTCTCTTCCTAAACAACAGTTTCAGGTTTGACCTCATGGCGGTACTAAAAATGATGCCAGGGACTCACCAAAATCAGTGGTGTTCAAGACCTAAGAGGTGCGAATATTTCTTCAGCACTTTAACAACTTCATCAGCCTCCTTCAGTTACTCACCAATATAATTCTTTGACACCACAACTTCTTTAATCTCAATGTAAACGGATCCTTTTGGGACCTGAACAACCTCCATGTAGCCTGGGAGGCAAAAAGAGACATTATTGAAGAGTTACCCCCCCCCCCCCCCCCCCCACACACACACACACACACACACATGCACACACACACTGTAGTCTTCATTTCTCTGTGACATATTGCTTCAACACACAGAAGACATAAAGTTACATATCATACTAGGAAGGAGAACATATAGATTCAACTCCAAATCACCCAAAAAGGACACAGCGATCATGCAGGAGGACACAACAGCCTCACATGCGCACACAATATTTTTAGATGGTTTACTAGCCATACCATAGAAGGAGAAATATGTTTTATCCCTGCCTTGTTCGCTGTACACAAGCTCTGACCGCCCTAACGCCTGACTTTTTCTTACTGCCTAACATAAATGTATGTATCATGCAAAAGATATTTTGGACTGACTCCCAGTTCGGATAACCTCTGCTCCATAGGTAGGTGACAGATAAAAAATGTTTTCCAGATGACGTGGATGTGATGTCTGCTTGATAAGATCTCTTTTTTACCTAAACAGGAACAAGTCCTTACAGTCTGTGTCACATGTAGTGATAAAAAATAAAACATGGAGTGCAGTCTCTGCTCCATAGTATATCACTGGAGATCTAACAGAAACCTGAGGTGACAGGACAGCTAAAAGTCTCTTATCCTAAAACTCAGGCCAAAGGTCATGCGTTTTACCTCCTCTTGGTAGAGAGTCGTTAAAGAGTCCCTCTGTGGCCTCGCAGGTGCTGCCGTCTCCTCCACAAACACGGCATCGATCTTCTTTAGCATCTGAGCCCAAAGTGTTGTCGCAGCCCACGTGCTTTGAAGTCAAAAGGGCAGAGTCAGCACAGCTTTATATAATAGTTGTGTCAATTAGCATGATTTTTGGGTGTAAATTTAACATATGGCTTTCTGCAGATGAGGCAGAGTTTTTATCAGGGATGTAAAGAAATTCAGATACACTGATATATATCACGATATTTCGTGTCATGATATTTAACGGGAGCGCACTGAAATTTTTTGAGAATGGACATGCTAACATTTGCTGAATTTCTTTTGTGCGGTGCAATTCACCCTCCGACAGCTAGGTGGCAGCAGTTTTTAGCCCCTTAATTCTGACGGAACAAGATCGGGCAATAACCACAGACATCGTATACGTAGATGCCGCGTGGACTGGCGCTGCCTATTGGAGCTGCCGTAGTGGCAGACCGCCATTTTGGTTGGGTCTCCATTCACCCCCAGTGCATTCACTTCTGTCAGTGTGCCCCAGGGGAGCTGTGGCTGCCTTGTAGCTCATCACCACAAGTGTGTGAATGTGTGTGTGAATGAATAAATGGTACACTGTAGTGTAAAGTGCTTTGGAGTCCTCTGGCTCTGAAAGGGGCTATACAAGTGCGGGTCACTTATCATTCATTTCTACTAGGGAAGGTGCTTACCAAACTAAAAAACACATTTTATTGTGCTTTTTCACATAATCAGACAGATGGGATGGTATGATAGTTAGAATATAAATATAAATAAACAAAATACATTCAAATCCCTACTAGTAGGCTAGAAAAGTCAATCCCACATAATCTGTTTTGAAATGTGATCTGTGGGCTGTACAAAACGTGATTTTTGTACAGCCCACAGATGACAGTTTTTTTTTTCAATAGACCTGCTGTGGTCTCTAGTACAAATGAATGCCTTGTGAGTTGATTATCTGTTTAGCGCTCCTGTTCCATGGGGCAGAGCCTTACTCGTTAGCATTCATGATATGCAAACCTCTAGCTGGCTAACAACGATGCGATTACTCTGCCGGGCCAAAAAATAGGTCACACACTATAATATTTCCTTTAGCTTTGCTGTGGTGTTGTTTCAATAAGCTTCTGCAATGTCACCAGCTTTGTTTCCATCCAGTGTTGCATTAACGTTTCACCAAGATCTTGCATTGATGATGGTAGAGTCTGACTGCTGCACAAAGCCTTCTCCAGCACATCCCAAAGTTTCTCAATGGGGTTAAGGTCTGGACTCTGTGGTGGCCAATCCATGTGTGAAAATGATGTCCCATGCTCCCCGAACCACTCTTTCATTATCTGAGCCCGATGAATCCTGGCATTGTCATCTTGGAATATGGCCGTGGCATCAGGGAAGATAGAATAACCTGGTCAAGGATATTCAAGTAGTCAGCTGACCTCATTCGTGGAGCACATCTTGTTGCTGAATCTAGACCTGACCAACTGCAGCAACCCCAGATCATAACACTGCCCCCACAGGCTTACAGTAGGCACTAGGTATGATGGGTGCATCACATTATCTGCCTCTCTTCTTACCCTGATGCACCCATCACTCTGGAACAGGGCCCATCTGGACTCATCAGACCAGTTTTAATTAAGCGTCGGACAGTTTTGAACCCAGTTTTAGTCGTTTCTGCATCTCCTTAAACATTTTCTCTGCTTGATGCCAAAGATCTGACCCTTCTCACACAGACTAACATCTTTTCCACGACCACCAGATGTGTCTATCCACCTGGTTGTTCAAGAAATAAGAAGCAGCTCATTGGGGTTAAATAACTTGTTGCAGCTGAAAGATCATCGCCTTGCAGTAATTATCCAATAGGAGGCTCCTACCTGTTTGCTTAGTTAAATAAAGGTGGGAACTTTTCTTTAGGCCGAGCTGTGGATTTACCTTCCACATATGTTTTAGGTTTAAAAAAATGCAACATTGGCTATTTTTATTTTTGTCTCCACAAATAACACAAGCTCGCACAAGTTCTACAATGTTGAGAAGTCGCTAATGCTAACAGTTAGCTTTTATTGCTATCTCCTGATTTCTAAAGTCCAGTTCCAGTGCTCGCACTTCCACACTTGCGCCCCTCAATTGCTTGTTCTAGTCCGGCGGCGCGATTGTGTGAGGTGTCCTGATTCTCAAGTGCAGAAGTTGACCACGTTCCCCCTTAGCACCTTTGATCCGCACTTTGCCAAACTCTAACCCTGATCTATGAAGAAAAGTAGGTCAGAGACTGCGTACTTATTGGTTCGCCACGTTAGACACCCCAGGCTGCCAATATTCAATAACAAAAAGGTGGTTCTAGGACTAGGAATTATAAAATTCCCTGTTTTTATTAAATACATATTTTAATTCACATTTTATTCACGGAATTTTGGTTCAAGTGCAATAAATAGTAACATCAGAAACACGAGATTCACTCATTACAATAAGAACTTTACGATTAACCAAATATCAACTTAAGGGAAAATGATGATGTATCTTCATGTTCCGTCAGATCTCAGTCTTATTTTGGCTTGCCCTATCTGCTGTATCTAATCTTTGTCTCTTCTTAGGATACCCGCATATGTCAGCAGCTCTGAGAAGTGATCTCAAAGCACAGAAGAGATTTATCACGGTGTGACAGAGCTGCTCGAGAGCAGGCCGTTAAAATGAAACAGCATGCTGGAGTCAGACTGGAAACCATCCTGCAATGCTCCTTTACTGGGGAATATTCCACCTCTAAGAGAGCTTTCTGGCTATGAAAACACACATCATGTTGGGTTTTTATGAGAATCAGAGGAAAGTTGTGGGTGCAGTCGCTGCACCTTTGCGCCAAATGGGAATCAAATCGTTCGGTCAGGTAGAAGTCAAAGCAAAAACATCTAGCGAGGAACCGAAAAGTTATTTCAGTTGTATCATACACAAAAACGATCTACACACACACACACACACACACACACACACACACACACACACACACACACAAATGATTAGTGCTCATGAAAACAAAGAGAGCACCAACTGCCAACTCCTTTCAATAAAACATGACTTTTCCTTGTTGTTAAATCAGTCTTTTTAGAAATAAAGAAAGCCATTATTAAATAAAAACTTTCACTTGTGTGTTTAATTTACCATAAAACAAATCTGACCGAGGCTGCAGAGCCAAGATAAGAGTCCCAATCAGCAGCTCTAAAAGCTGATTGTTCATTGTTTTCTAATCTATTGTTGTTGTTGTTTTTTCTTTATGCATTTTGTTTATGCAGCAGGGCTGTCAAAGAAAGGCTGGCACGGAGGCTGGGGATAGATAAAATGTCACTTGACAAAACAGGCTCACGATGAGTGTGAGTTTATAGTTTCGATTCTAAGATTTCATCTGAGTAGTTTTACGTCAAAGTAGAAAAGGGGCTCAGAAGTCTTTAAAGGAGCAACATGTAAGAATAAAATGATCTAATTTCTCAATCTTACTGAAAGGAAGGTGATATTGAAACCATTTTAATTCTCTGCCAGCTGAGTGGGGGTCAGTTTTTCACCTTTCTATAGAATTAAAGAGGGGCACAGTTTTTGTGTACAATCTGTAAGTTTGTGAGTTTGCTGTTTCTCCACCGAGCTAACGCTGCAGTGCGGGCTATTGTAATTTTACACTGGCAAGCAAAAAGCACCTGAGTTGTTTAAAGAACCAAAGCCAGTAAATAGGAGCGACACAGAAGTTATTTCTTGTACCCCTAAGAAGCCATGGCTACTTTTTGTTTTACTCTTAAATTGAGTAAAGAAGGCCATGGCTAATGTTGCGCTAACAATGGTGATGAGGGAATTAAAAGCGAATAGTCGGCTCTGAAAATATCTCAAGCTACTTTTTCAATAACCAACAACTCGATGTTACAGTGAGATGTGTGTGTGAAGTAGATTGTGGTGTTTTACTTCCTTTAATGAGTCGTTCAGAACTATGACAGCAAGCTAACAGCAAGACTGCAAACAACCACACTTCCTGTAATGCCAGAGAAATATTACCGTAATAAGTGTAGGAAGTGCTCCTTACCATAAAACATCTAAGAGTGCTAACACTAGATATGACAACGTATTTATCTACTTATCAACTTACTGTGTGACTCATGTTCACTTGTCATCTAGAATCTTCTGGTGCTGATCCATAACTGGCAACAGCCATGAAACTCACAGCATTTTATTGCTTAGGAAAATGGACTGCAGTTACCCAGTTTGACCACAGGATGTCATTCTATAGAGCTCCGGGAGTTGACGTCACTTCTACCGGCTTGCAACAGTTCAAATCGAAACGGCGCCATTTGGCAGGCAGAAGCCGGCAGCTGGACTATTTGTTATTGTCAGAAAACTCAATCAAACGGGAAATATGGTAGATTCCTGTTGTGCCCCAGGATGCAGAACAGACGTGGACGACATAAGGAATGAGTCATCTACAGGATTCCCCAAGATGCGGAGCGCCGCAAACGTTGGATCATTGTAATAAAACGAGCTAGTGACCGGGCGAAAATGAAACTGTGGGATCCCGAGAGTAAAGGTTTTCACTTATGCAGCGACCACTTCATATCAGGTACTTAAACCAACGTTTCCTCAACTGTGTATGGTATTTATTTTAAATGCTTTTATTACAATTCTTAGTGGGCTTCCTAAACTTATTTTGGCGTGGCTTTTTCTGTCTTATTACTCACAGCAGCAAGTAAACATCACGTAAAACGTTGCCTCGTGAGTTCTGCGTGCTGCCGTTTACGTGTTTTATGATCACAGCAATTAACCGGCTAAGCTGTATTTTATTTTTAAGCAATGGTTGATCATTTATCAGATAACACATAAAAAGCACTTTGGATTGCTATTATCTGTCTCACCGAGACTACTTACGTGTAAATCTGTTATTTGTCCGTCCATCCATCCATTTTCATCCGCGTATCCGGAATCGGGTTGCGGGGGCAGTAGCGTGACTTCCCTCTCCCCAGCCGCCGGAGCCAGCTCCTCCGGGTAAATCCCAAGGGGTTCCCCGGTCAGGTCCGGTGTTGTGCCGGTAAGAAGCCCGCTCCGACAGCTTCTGGCGTCGGAGCGGGCAGTAGAGTCGAGAGTCCCAGACCTCTCCCCAGCTCCTCCGGCCGGGGGAATCCCAAGGGGAATCCCACGGGGTTCCCCCGGCCAGGTCCGGTGTTGTGCCGGTAAGAAGTCCGCTCCGACAGCTTCTGGCGTTTTTAAAAAGTATCCCAGGGGCACGGTAAGGGTCGGAGATGTTTAGTCTATTTAATTTCTGACTATATAAAACGATTTCTTCTGTTTTAAAGTGTGAAGTAAACTCCGACGAAGTAAAATCCAAGCGGATCCCGTTCATGTTCATGGTTACATTTGTGTTTGTTTACCTTTTTTGCATGCCAAAATGGCGTCCACTAACTGAGAGTCACGTGGGGTCCGGAGCTCTATTGCACCTTTAATATTCTGTCAACCTTTCCAGAAGGTTTTATATAAATGGACAAGAGAACACAACCATAAATTAAATGTATTTTCAAGACTTCCCTACTGCCTAAACTCTGGGTCCCATGAATGTTGCCACAGCATGAGTTTCCTTGTTTGTGATACACTACCAGGTCTTTTACTGCAGTTGCTTACTTTTTTTTTTTTGTGGCTCTCTCCACATTTAGTGTTGTCTTCAGTAAATGAAGGGCAGCCCCACGGACTCATCCATTACTAAATATGTTCCCCTTTTCCACCTTCAAAGACTCCAGGGGATGTTTTGGGTGAAAGCGTCGGGTCTTCGTCCATCTGTGTCATAAAGCAGTCAGCTGTGCAGGATTTGAGTGTGAGAAGGCACATTCCTGAGCGGTGCAGAACTCATCCAGCTGCTTCTGTCTCCTGCCACAACACCAGCGACCCGGTAACACTGAAAGCCACGGGTGGCTGGGCCATCACACAAACCTCCACGTGTTCTACAGGTGACGTTTTAGCTGCTCCAGCTTTCACTGCACATTTTGTTTCTCATGTCTCTTGGAGAGGTTGATTTTATTAACATCTGTGCTGTTCCAGAAGTCCTCTGGCTTATTAATAATCATCACCAAAAGGAGGGCAGCTGATAGACATTTGATTCAAGATGGCTGCCACAGCAAACTGGCCGTAGAAAACACAAAAAAATAACTTTAACTCACTTTTACAGATGTTGAGCTGATGCTGGTGGTGTAAAATGTCAGGTTCACATGGTGAGATAGAGTGTTTGGTGTGCAGAAACACGTCAAAACTCCACACCAGAAACAAAACTATCTCACTCACAAAACCAAACATTCCACGGTCCGATGGGAAATCTCTCAAAACCTCTCGAGATCAAACAAGACTTCCAAGTGAACAAACATGGCAGAAGAGGAAGAAGATTTGGATTCCTCTCACTCGCCGTCAACGCTCTTTTTGATTGGCTACACGTCACATTCAACAGGCAGCACGCATGCTTGTCCGCATGCAGAGTTCATCATTTCTATTGCTCAGGTTATCCAATCCATCTCCTGAATATTTGTGGATGATCAGATAATTTACCTTTTCTGAAAATATTACCGTTGGCACCATTGAGATGTCATTTATCTTAAATACAAGTTATTTTTGTCAGCCTAAATTTATACCCGGTTCGATTCAGTGAAACTCCACCCATGCCCGCTCTGACAAAACGCTCGTACAAACGTGTCTTAGGCCAGCCTGGTGTTGTGTTGGCCTTGGCAATCCAGTGGTTACAGTTGTCCAGTCTGGCACTCTAACCACTGAGCTACCAAGTCTGCTACAGGACAATAGTTGCCTAATATACCTATCCTGTGCTGGCCATTACATGTCTTTGTAGACAGGATGTAGGGTTTTTATGGCGGTGTTTTGTCCCCCGATGCAGAAGTAATTTGTCGGAATATCCAGGTTTCAGAACCGAGACCACCAGCTTCAGGGAGAGGAGAAATGCCTGATGCAGTAGTAGTTTTCATCCAAGCCTTTTTAGAGCATTCAAAGTAAAACTCTAAACTTGCAGTTGATACAGGAAAATGCATGAATGCAGCCAAAAACAGGTTGGGGGGTTGTTTTCCCCTGTTAAATTGAGAATAGGTTTTAAGATCCTCCTTCTCACATATAAAGCTCTTAATAATCAAGCTCCATCATACATCAGTGATCTGATTGTTCCATACGTTCCTAACCGAGCACATCGCCCTCAGACTGCAGGTTTACTGGTGGCTCCCAGAATATCTAAAATTAGGATGGGAGGCAGATCTTTTAGTTATCAGGCTCCTCTCTTGTGGAACCAACTGCCAGCTTTGGCCCGTGAGGCAGACACTTTGTCTACTTTTAAGAATAGGCTTATAACATTTTTATTTTATAGGGCCTATGGTTAAAATCTGATGTTAGCCCAGATCTGTACAAGTGGGGGATTAGAGGGAGGTGGAGTGTACAGTCAGTAAAGACTGCTCTCCCTTGCCCTGCCTCCAACATGCCTCCATCTAAAAAGGCTAGGTTATCCAGCGTTATCTCTGTAGTTATGCTGCTATAGGCTTAGACTGCTGGAGGACACACTGACCACTTTCCACACTCGACTACTTTCTTCTACAATCTGCTCTTTAACTGTATTATTTCCTGCTATTTCAGCTGTTAACTTTATTTTTCTCTAAGTGTTTTTCTCCCCAGAAGAAGCTTCAACGATGTTCTGCTGAGCTGTGATGCCCTCATGGAGGGGGCCATCGTCTAGCACACTGTTGCTAACCACTTAACCATTCTCCCGATAATAACACTTTACTTTCCTTGACGTTGGACGTGCTACTGCTAGTTTACCCGTTTAATTATAGATCCACTAGGATAAATACAATAAAGTTTATCTCTCACCAAATAGAATATTTACTAAGAAATCACAATGTAACCATAGAAACACTACTTGGTATATATGTTGCCTGTGTGTGTGTGTGTGTGTGTGTGTGTGTGTGTGTGTGTGTGTGTGTGTGTGCGTGCGTGCGTGCGTGCGTGCGTGCGTGCGTGTGTGTGTGTGTGTGTGTGTGTGTGTGTGTGTGTATGTGTGTGTGTGTGTGTGTGTGTGTGTGTGTGTGTGTGTGTGTGTGTGTGTGTGTGTGTGTGTGTGTGTGCTCTGTCTTCTCGATCCCCAGTGAGTCGTGGAGGATGGCTGCTTATACTGAGCCAGGATCCTCTGGAGGTTTCTTCCTGGGAGTTTTCCTCTCCACTGTCGCTAAATGCTTGTTTAGTATGAGAATTGCTGTAAAGTCATTGACACTAGTCAGTGACTTGATGCAATCTGCTGGGTTCCTTATATAGGAAACGTTTTACTGATTGGCTTAATGAACTGACCTGTATTGGAATGTTTACTGTGTGAAGTGCCTTGAGACGACTCCTGTCTTGATTTGGCGCTATATAAACAAAAGAAAATTTAATTTAATTTTCAGCTGTGGCTACAATGTAGCTCATCACCACCAGCATGTGAAAGTGTGAATGACTGATTGTGTTGTAAAGCGCCTTGGGGGTTTCCAGGCCTCTAGAAGGCATTATCAAATTCAGGTCATTTACCATTTGTCAGTGCATTGGGCTCAGCTCATTATAGCAGTTAAAAGCTTCCTATGTAGGAAAACCAGAGTCACTGACTTGTGTCAGAGTCTTTACAGCAATCCCCAAACTAAGCAAGCATGCAGCGACAGTGAAAACTCCCTTTAACAGGTAGAAACTGCACACAGAACCTGGCTCAGTATTGATGAGCCTCGACTGACTAGTGTTTACAGAAAACAGGATTTACCTCTATGTAACATAATAATCCATTATCATATGTATTTTTTATTTAAAGCTTAATAAGAACATCTTTTGCAAAGCTGACCAGGTGCTTGCCGAGTGCTCCCATACCTTACACTCTCCGTTGATGCAGATGTCCAGAGAGTCGGCCTGACATTGGGTGCCATCGATGACAGCGGGGGAGCGCTCTGTGTAGAAGTTATAGCCCTCAGCCAAGCAGTTCAGAGCACAGGGCTTAACACCACCTGGAGAATATAGAACACACACACACACACACACACACACACACACACACACACACACACACACACACACACACATGTATATATATACTTGTGAGGACACTGACCCTACCTGTCTTTGTGAGGACATCCACTTCCTGCATAGCTGTGCCTGGACACAGACAGCCTGGACTGAACCCCAACAGACCCAAACAACACATGTAGACCAGCAAACTCTCAGCACCATTGCAGATCCAGAGCCACCCCCAGGATCTCCTCTTGTCTTGCTGACAATATTAACCACACAAAGAGAAAAGTAAGCGATGCTCAGCTCTAAAATCCCCAGCCTGACGTCATCGTAACGCTGACACCCACAGAGACAGAGCGTCCTGCCAACAACAATCAAACCGACATTCCCACACAGGTTATCTGGTGTTTTTACATGGCTGCATCTAGCATGCTGAGCCATGTGAGGCAAGAGGTGATGGATTTGATTAAACAAGCCTTTTGAAAAAGGAGATCAAACTTAAGCTCTTCCTTCTCTGAAAGAAAATTAAAGCTGTTTTCATGCTTCGAACATTACAGCTTTTGAGCTAGTTGTGTTTTTCCTGGAGATGGAATTTTTCATGATCTGCAGAAGCCAACAAGAGAAGGACACTCCTTAACTTCAGTCACTGACTGGAGTAGTTGGGAAAAGTCTAACCTGTCAGGATCAGACAGATACAGTTTATCCACAGAATATTCTTACTCTGATTGACCCTTGAATTGAGACAAATCAGGATCTCAGGTCGGTATGTCAGATCTCCAAGTTTGGACCAGCAGCAGCAGCAGCTGCAAGACCAGCAAAGGTTTTGAAGAATCTAAAGAATTCCCATCCCATCAAACAGTGCTTCTGTCTGTTCGTGTTAACAGGGAACACAAGCCAGAGCGGCCTGCAAACGTTCATCTGTGACATCCAGAGGACGGCAGGCAGGTTTTACAGCTTAGCAGTTTAGGGAAAATATTTTGGAATACTTTGCATGTTTGGGCCAAGCCTACTTTTAAAGTTAACATTTAAAGGTGAGGATTTAGTGAGAGCAACTCCAAAATCCACCACGCAGACTTTTCAAAGCCAATATTTGGCGCTTTATTACTGCTTATTAGTGATGTATACAGCATGGTGATCATACAGAACATGGCAACCCAAACAGTTTTATTTTGAGGTTTCAGCCATTAAACACCTACAAATGAAGCTTTAGCTCTTCTTCTCCAGCAAATCCACAGTAATTCTGAGTTTTGGAACTTGTGCTTGTAATAACCATTGCCATAAATGGGAATTAGATTTCCAACCCAAACTTGAAGTTGGTAAATGATGACCGCCTGCTTGTGGCTGGTTCCAGAACGAGTTTAAAGACCTGGGGCCTCATTTATCAAGCTTGCTTACGCACAAAACCGGGTCGGAAAACTGCGTAAGCAACTTTCCACGCAAACTTTGGGATTTATGAACGAAAACTTAGCAGAAAAATGTGCACAACTTCAAGTTGACTAAGGACCTGGCTTACGCACATTTTGGACATGGAGAGCTCCTGCAGTGCTGCTGCTGAGAAGGATAAAATTATGAAATCCTGCAGCATTATCACTTGTACCGCTTCGTTTTCACACAGAACAAGACCCCCCATACGCACGCATACAAACACATGCGCGCACACACTCACACACACACACACAGCCTGAAGCCAGAATACGGAATGCAGAATATCAGCAAGGGGGCAGATTAGACAGAATGTCATGCGTCTGTGACAGTGTGTGTCATGTCACTGCGACCCGATTGATCATGCGCCCTGGCTCCTTGGACAAGGGAGATCTCCATTTGGGTGACTGGTTAACACATGTGACTTTCACCTGGGAGTCTGGGGATTGAATCTCGATTGGACCTTTTTTTTTTAATATTCGCCACAAATCTCTGAAGAATTCACAACATTGACAGCTTCAGCAACGCTGTGCCACTGCGTGGATTTTCTCTTATTTGTTTTGCAAAAGCACTTCCTTACATTTCTCCACCTCACCCACAAGTACCTCAATATCTGCTTGTGAAATAGCGCTTCCTTGATCTGTGGCCATAATCGAAATGTTGCAACAGCCGGCTTATGTATATGCATGAGATTCACAAGGCGCTTTGCATTGACTATTTATGGCAGTAAATGGGCGTGGTGAGGGCGGGATGTGACTAAAATGCAGCTGAGAACCATTCTCGTTAGTCTCTGATTTATGAAGCAGAGATTAAGTGCAGCTGTGTGTGCTCCATGTTTGATAGATGACAAACCTACTTGGCGTACGTACATTTTTTTTGCTGAGCTTAAGTACGGTTTTAGTAAGGATTCTACGCAATGTTTTATAAACGAGACCCCAGATCCTTCTATTCTAACAGTAATTACATTGGCCTGAAAATTTAAATATTGAAGCTTATAAAAAGGATTTTTTTTTAGGTAGAGGCATTATTCCTCTACTTACTAAGGTCTATAACCAGCATATTACTGGGTTGTTACACTAATGGGAGACATGAAATTGTTTAAAAGTTTTCAGATTTTCAGATGGAATCACACTGAATTTGTACTTATTGTTAGGAACAAGTGTGAAATATAGTAGAATCATGCATTGAATATGACTTGGGCCCGGTTCACACTGGAATATTTTAAAAGTCCATCCATCTATTGGCCTCCGCTTATCTGGGATTGGGTAATGAGGGCAGCAGCCTAAGCAGAGAGGCCCAGACTTCCCTCTCCTCAGCCACTTGGGCCAGCTCCCTCGGGGGATTCCCAAGGTGTTCCCTGGCTAGATGAGAAACGTCATCCCTCCAGTGTGTCCTGGGTCATCCTTTAGGTCTCCTCCTAGGATGTGGACGGAAAACCTCACCAGGGAGGCGTCTAGATGGCAGATGTCTGAGCCACACCAACTAGCTCCTCTTGATGTAAACAACACCTGCATCACTGCAGACACAGCCCCAATCGCTGTCCATCTCCAGCTCCATCTTTCCCTCAGTCATGAAAAAGAATTTGAGATACTTCAACTCCTCCACTTGGGACAGGACCTTGATTTAAAAAGTGTTCAAAATATGAGAGACCCCACAGGTGCAGATTAAATATCCAGATAAAAAGGTTTTGGTTTTACAGTGCGTGGTACGTGGCTACGTGGTAAAACTACACAACATATGATCCAGTTTCACTGACAAACATTCCCCTGTCAGACGGGAAATCTCGCAAAACTTCTCAAGATCAAACGTGACTTTGGAATAAACAAACAAGGCAGAGAAGCATACCTCCATCACCTATCTCTCTGACTGGCTACACACCACATTCAACAAGGCACATAGTTGTTTGTCCTTTGGGCACACCACACATGCTGCAATATCAAAATCACAACTCACAACACAATCCAACATGCTTCTCTGATTTGTGTTCAGAACAGTCGCAACAACCTTCCAAGTAGACCAGAGCACTCCTAACCCACCACACACGGCAGGAACATCTGATAAGATTTTCTTCGGTCACTCAAAATCTGCATCATTATCTTGCCGTTTGAACTTCGCCTTCGTTAAAAACAGATTGCAACAGTTTAGCTACTTTTTTCATCATAATTTAGTCACAAAGTGTCTGAATTATGTCCAACCAAGGACTGGGTTTGCAAATTAGCCTCTGGCTAGAGAACTTATGTAAAAAAAAAAAACAACGGTTGCATTGCCCTTACATGTAACATTGTCTTTTGTGCTGTCCTTGTTCAATAAACCAAATAAAATAAATAAATAAATAAATCGTTTGCATCTTACCCTCATTTCATTCACAATTTTGTCACCAAATTGATCTCATTTTCTGATTTGCAAGAACTAAACTGACAGGTTTTAGATGGGTTTCCAATAAGTGCAACAATTCTGACAATTTTAAGAGAAACTCAGTCTGACAAACTTGTTAAAGATTTTCAGCAGCAAGAAAGCAAGAATGCGAGGAAATTGAGAACCTTTGCATATAATTCGAGACATTTTGCAAACTCCTTTGAGAATACTTTTTGCAATGTGTTACTAGCAGTTACAAAGTGTTAGAGAAGTTCATTTTAAATAAATAATAAGTTCAAAGTTGAGTTCACACAGTTCCATTTGTACACAGTACTCTGAAATTTTAATTTACAAGGAGGAAAAATGAACAGGAACACCCTCCGAAGTTGGATCTTCCTCTCTAAAAAGACGTGTTTCCACTACAAGAACTTCAGGGTAGATTTACAGGAACCTCCCGACATGCAAGTGTCTCCATCTGACCGGGCTGTCCAAACGGTCATTGTTCGGCATTTTTCAGTAACCTTCTGAGTCCCTGCTCTGGAGTAAGTACTCCGAACGGCCCGGTGGAGTAGCTGAACGGAACCTCTGCTTAACTCACGCTGATTGGTTGTATCTCAGTAGGAAATTACATCGGCAGACGTCCAAAACAACCGACAGCGGTAAAATTAGAAGAGTAGCTGAAGAAGAAGAATGGAAGCAAAAAAAAAAAGTCCAAATCGCATTTAAAATGTAACTCCCGACACAGGAAAACTCGATGGAATTCCCCCACAGCTGTTGGAAAAAACGGGGAAATTCCCCTCACAGACTTAATTTACGGGGCTCCTCTCACAAAACTCAGAGCTGCTCACGTCCTCTGAATGGATTAAATTATGATATATTCTATAAAACAAATGCTTTTAATATTATTCATGTTACTTTGGGTGCTTTTTGGGGCTGATCAGTGACATCACTCACTGCCAAAGCAGTCGCGATAGGCTGATGTCTGTGCAAAATCTGAAAGGGCTGGATTTGAATGGAGACACAACAGCTGAGAGGACTGGGACATCCTATCTCCTGGTCAAGTTCCCCATCCCAGGAGTTCTGGTAATGAAAACATGCCTAAAGTCAGAGAAGTTTTTGTTTTTTACGCCGACTTCGATGTTCAATATAGCAGCTCATCCTACCAACAAGAGTAGCGGTGGTGAAAACGAGTTTCTTTTACAAGACAAACGATTGTTTAATGAACTTGTTCAGGCACACCACTGGAGTCGAGGCCCAGTAATGATATGATATTTTCCGTGCTCATGTGTCCATTTTATTTTTTTTGGACCTGCTCTCCGGTGGTCCAAATCATGAGAAACTGACCCAACACACCCACTACCAACTGATTGGCCAGCTGAAACTCTGGTCTACCTATAGAATGAGCCTCTGATTGGCAGGTAGAATGAGCCAGTGGAGACGTCCTGCATGTTCCAGCTGTGTGCTTTTATTAGTCTCCAAAAGTGTCCAAAAGCAACACCGCTCACGGCCGCCTTGGTTTATTAACAAAGGAAAACACCACGGACCTCTCCGCGTGTCTTTTGCCCTGCCCACAAGCTCGGAGACATCCACTTTCACGCTACCAGCCAGGCCAGATGTGAAAACGCCAAATGGTTGTTTGTGGTAACAAAGGTGGCCTATTGGTAGAGTGTTTGCCCTGGGACCGAGAGATCATGGTTCAAATCCCAGTTGGGTCTTACCAAAGACCTTAAGAATGAGACCCAATGCCTCCCTGCCTGACACTCAGCTTTAAGAGGTTGGATTGGGGGGGTTAAACCAACTAATAGTTGCTGAGCACAGCCAGAGCTGCAGCTCACCGCTCCCCATGGGGATGGGTCAAATGCAGAGATGAATTTCACCAGTGTGAGATGAATTAATGGGACTTTGACTTTAAATTTAAAACATAAGTGGCAAAGACCCCAACAAATCACAGGGTAGATGGGTGAGTCAGTGATTCTTGTGACTTCCATGATCTTATTGATGTTGGGGTACCCAACAACTTACAGACCAGAAACTCCCGATCAGAACTAAAGAAGCCTTTTGGGTGAGACTTGAAATATCTAGAAGTCTACTTATCTTTGAAACCCTTGGGGGAACAGTGTTTGTGGCTGCTGCTTCATGCAGAATGCAGATTTTATGTGGTGGAGAAATGCTTTGTAGGCATGAACTCACCACCAGTGTACGGCTTCCAGTTGTAGTACTTCCCACGAAAAGGCAAATTGTCAAAATCGGCACACTGCTTCTCTCGGAAATCCCGGGATCCCACAGGGCAAGGCTGCAATGCAAAACAGATCTTTTCATTATAGATCCCTAACACTTGATTTATACTAAAAATGGCAAAAATTAATAGGCTCACAGCTTGGCTGTAAAGTCTAAAGAAGCAAGTTTTGGGCCTTTTGAAGATCAAACACTTGGAGCAATTCTGATACACAAAAACTGTGATTCAACATTTAAAGGTGTGGAACACTGAAAAACCTTTTTATTATCATTTCTGATTATGATCAGCCACTCTGATTTTAGTCTCCCACACCTATCTCCTTCTTTAGCTTCTGACAGAAAATAGATGATGAAACAATGTGATTTGAAAATCCTGACAGATCTATGTCACACTGCTGTCAAACTAGAACTGCTTATTTCTCAGCATTAATTGAGGAGAATAAGCACAATCCTACATTTCTTTTCAGTACAGTTGCTAAACTTACACAGAATCATAGCTCTGAGCCAACTATTCCCTTAGCCCTCAGCAGCAATGACTTCATGGGATTTTTTACAAGTAAAATTAGTTCTATTAGAAACAAAATCTTTAGCATCCTCCCTAAAGCGATTTCTTCTTCCTCAGTAAGTGAGGCAGCTTCAGAGGTGACTGCAGAACCTCATCTGTGTTTGAACCGTTTTGATCCAGTTGAGTTTTCAGATTTATCAAAAATATTAGCTTCATCTAAACCTTCAACTTGCATTTTGGATCCAATCCGAACCAAATTATTTAAAGAAGCATTTCCTTTGGTTACTGCCCCCATTTTAGATATAATCAATCTATCCTTAGTAAATGGATATGTACCACAGGATTTTAAGGTTGCTGTAATCAAACCTTCACTTAAGAAGTCTTCTCTGGATCCAGATGACCCAATGAATTATAGACCAATATCTAACCTTCCATTTTTATCCAAAGTCCTGGAGAAAAGTATGTGAGCATTTAAACACTAATGATCTGTTTGAGGAATTTCAGTCTGGTTTTAGAGAGTATCACAGCACTGAAACTGCGTTAGTGAGAGTTACAAATGATATTCTCATGGCCTCCGATAAGAATCTTGTGTCTGTTCTAGTCTTGTTAGATCTCAGTGCTGCATTTGACAGAGTTGATCACAATGTTCTTTTAGAAAGACTTGAACATCAAATCAAATCAATCAAATCAAATCAAATTTTATTTGTATAGCACCTTCTACAACATTATCCGAAGCCCAAGGTGCTGAACAACATCATTAAAAGAAAAATATTCCCAATACATGGGCATAAAGCAGGATAAAAACATAAAATCATAAAATAGCAAGCAAACAGCATTACAGATAATAGATATTGGAATAAGACCAATCGATAAAAAAAAACAAATGTCGGACAAAATAAAATCAAGCATTCGGTTTAAAAAGAAGAATAGTTAAAACCATAATGTTAGGGCAATTCAAGTGACCCTAGCGCTGAAACGCAATCAGATAAAAATGAGTCTTTAAACGAGACTTAAAGACTTGAAGGGATGGTGCCTGCCTAATGCTCAGTGGCAATTCGTTCCACAGAGTTGGAGCCAAAATAGAAAAAGCACGACTACTCCTCGATCGAAATTTCGACCGGGGGACCACCAGAAGTTCCTGCTCGGCTGAGCGAAGAGACCGAGATGGAGCATACCTGTTCAAAAGCGCAGTAATGTACGAGGGGGCACTGCCCTGGAGGGCCTTATAAACGAGAGTTAAGATTTTAAACTGAGCTCGACATTTTACCGGGAGCCAGTGCAGAGCATCCAGCACTGGGGTAATGTGCTCTCGACATCTAGTGCCTGTCAGGAACCTAGCCACAGAGTTCTGCACAAACTGGAGCCGTGCAACCGTGCACTGGGCCAGACCAGCATACAGAGCGTTGCAGTAGTCCAGCCGAGATAGGACGAAGGCATGCAACACAGACTCCAGATGAGCTCTGGACAGCAGAGGCCTGATCCTGGATAGTCTTTTCAGGTTAAAGAAACAGGACCTCACCACTGTATTTACAAGAGTGTCAAGATTAAGTGCTGAGTCGATTTTAATCCCCAAATTACATGTTGTAGGGATCAAAGGAACAGCGCTAGGCTGGTTTAAATCCTACCTGTCTGACAGATTTCATTTTGTAAATGTACATGACAAATCATCTTCATACTCCAGGGTTACTTGTGGAATACCACAGGGTTCAGTGCTTGGACCAATTCTTTTTACTATATATATGCGTGTGTGTGTGTGTGTGTGTGTGTGTGTGTGTGTGTGTGTGTGTGTGTGTGTGTGTGTGTGTGTGTGTGTGTGTGTGTGTGTGTGTGTGTGTGCCTGCTCTGTCTTCTCGATCCCCAGTGAGTCATGGAGGATGGCTGCTTATACTGGGCCAGGATTCTCTGGAGGTTTCTTCCTGTTAAAAGGGAGTTTTCCTCTCCACTGTCGCTTTATGCTTGCTTAGTATGAGGATTGCTGTAAAGTCACTGACACTAGTCAGTGACTTGATGCAATTTGCTGGGTTCCTTATATAGGAAACATTATTTCTGACTGGCTTAATGAACTGACCTGAATTGGAATGTTTATTATGTGAAGTGCCTTGAGACAACTCTTGTCGTGATTTGGCGCTATATGAATAAAATTGAATTGAATTGAATTTAATTTAATTGAACTGTCACTTAACATTCCTGGACTCACCCATCTGGACTCACGACGGGGGAGGCTGTTGTTGGCTTAGCGTCCACGAATCCGCTGAGAACGTCTTGGCTAGTAGAAGCTAACCATTAGCATTAGCAACTCCACCACACAGCAGAACTCCTTCAAGCTTGTGTTATTTGTGGAGATAAAACGTTGCAAAGCAAATGGAGTCAGTGGTAAACTTTTGTTGCTGTTAGCAAATCAGGGGAGAGATGTCCAAATATCAGGAAACAAGACTCAAAATCCTGCCGTCTGAAGCTCAGCTGTGATGTGGCTCATAGACAAGAATACGTAGACGTGTGATCGGGCGCTGGAGAACAATCAAATCAAATCAAAGATACTTTATTAATCCCAGAGGGAAATTAGAGTTCAGTACACACAATTCAGATATCAGACATACAAAGGCAAGATGCATGACAAGAATTGGTGACTGTGGTCATTCGCAACCCGAGTTGCGCTACCTTAATAGAGATCAGAGGGTTACATGAGGATTGGTTCAGGTGGAGGGAAAAAAGGCACTTCAGAGTTACCCTCCACACTTGAAGTACCTGGCAGCCTGAGGTTTTCTTAGTAATGATATTTCAAGGTAATTACGTTTCTTTGAAGGTTTCTTATTCCTCTTGGCAGATACGGTTAGGATCTGTTTGACTGAATGTAAAGTGTCAGGGAACAACCATTATCAGGTCTATCTTTACACACTTTATTTTGCTAAAGTACTGAATATGTTATTAAAGGAAGTGATTACTGATGGATATCCTCCACAAACACTTTTAAGAGTCGTGGCCAATCAGTTGACTTTTTAATGTGTTTGGTGAAACTTGAATTGAATTTTTCTGTGAATCTTCTGGATGGGTTCTAAAATGCTTTCATTGTGAGGTCATTCATATCATGATTTCAAGCTTTGAAGTGACACTGTGTTTTTTCCCTGGCAATAGGGGGCTGTAGATAACTAAATCATTGGAAGCAAGCATTATTTCTGTGTTCAAGTAAGACCTTACCAACAGAATGCCATTAGGGTCAAAACTCCCTGGGAGTGCAAAATAACAAGAACATCAGATTCCCTTTTATCATTTGCAATGAGTACACAGGTAAATGTGTAAAATATCAATGTTTATTAATGGTGAAAGTTTTGTAACCATTTATTACAAATCAGTAAATGCATTCTATCCTCACGGGCATCCGTAGAAGGAAACATGGCATCAAAGCTGGCATTGCCCAGAGACTTGGGGTGTTTCTCAATGCCAAGGAACCTTGCCTTGATGTTGTGGTCCCACCCCGGTTGCCTAGGAGATACGCCATCAGGAGCCGCCAAGATGTGTTCCAATGTTCATGTTCTACCAAGGTGTGTGTTCTCCGTTTGTTAGCCGTTTAGCTAGCTGAGCAAGGAGAAACGGGAGGTGTCTTCTAGCCTAGCCTTGGTCAAAAATTACCCAGAATACAGTGCAGTATTTTCAAAAGGATGGCGGATCAGAAGCCGGCAGCTACTTCGGGGGCAAATTTCAAGTTTAAAAGCAAGTGAACTAATTAAAAATGGATTTTTTTTAGATCCAAAGAAGTTATCTGTGGTTGGTTAGTTGCTTAGTAGTTGCAGCTTCGGTGGCTAGCGGGTAGTAACTCGCTTGCATATTTAATTTAACAAATATATACACAATTTAAAAAGTAAAAGGCTCGTTATACTGAAGCTAATGCATATAAAATATAACGATATCTTCCGTGTCATGTGACGTTACGTGACCGCCGTGGAAGCCGCAGTCACGTGATGTAAGTCTGTTCTATTTAACCGTTTTCTTTGACCAAGGAAGGACAGTGTCCTTGTAAGCAAGGTGTCTGGCCTCGCAAGACATTGCCTCGCAAGGCCAGGCGCCTTGACATTGAGAAACACCCTAGGACCTGCTCCATGTGTTTTAGACCAGATTTTTATGGTTATATGTTATGAAACCGCCAATATTTTTCAACAACTGGGTATCTTTTAATTCATTAACAACAGCATTCCAGTGGATATTTCTGGAGATTAATGGTAAAAACCACACATTGTCACTTTAATTACATCTAAATGGATGAGTTACAAAAAACATTCAACCATATCTAAATTGTCACGACAGCAAACCAGACGTATTAAACCTAAAACATTTTTTGAACCAGGCTGTAAACACGTTTATTTCTGCTGTGAAGTTGGAATTTTCAACATGGGAGTCAATGGGAAGTTGTTCCTTTCTATACAAAGCCCCTTGTGGACGAGGGGGAACACTTCTATGTTGGCTTCACTTTTGACAGACAGAGTTTGTCTCTTGGTGGCAACAAAGTTTGAGACTTCATGTCACTCGATCTGCTGCCTGCATGATCATTATACGCAGTTAATATTAATTAAGTTAACGGATGGGATTTATATGGTGCTTTTGTAGACACTCAAAGCGCTTCAATTATTCATTCATCTCACATTCACACACTGCCAGTGATGGTAAGCTACTATGTAGCCACTGCCGCCCTCGGGCGGTCTGACAGAGGCAAGGCTACCATTTCGCACCATCAGCCCCACTGGCCATCATCTACACAGGCAAGGTGAGTGAAGTGTCTTGCTCAAGGAAACAAGCAGAATGCCGCTGGTGGGAGCCGGAATCAAGCCCACAATCCTCTGATCATGAGGCGACCCGCTCTACCTCCTGAGCTACTGCTGCCCCCAGGGACGAAATTTTGATTTCAGAAGTGGGGGGGACACAGCAGGCTTGTGCGGATTTGGGGTGGGGGGTGTTATGTAAAGACCCCTTGACACGTCATGTGCCCATCTCAATAATTTTTCCATCCTCTCTCTCTCTCTCTCTCTCTCTCTCTCTCTCTCTCTCTCTCTCTCTCTCTCTCTCTCTCTCTCTCTCTCTCTATATATATATATATATATATATATATATATATATATATGTCAAAGTTAAAAAATGTACAACTCTATTATTATTTTTATTTATTATCATTATTGAAGTGCAGTTTTGGCTGTTGACAATGGACAGGCTATTGTATTTATTGTTTTGGGTCTTTTTTTTTTATTGTTTTTGGTGCAACATTTTCTAACAGGGAGTGAGATTCCTTTTTTATTTAATTTTTGTTTGTTATTTTTATTCATTTAGAAGTTCTGGTTCTGGACATTTCAATGTTAAATGAAGGTTTATTTGTTGCATTTTAAAGGGTGTACTTGCATTATTATGATATATTAACATTATATTAGTGGTTATTTTGGTCTAGATAATGTTGACAATGATATCGTTTATCATCAACAATTTGTTGGACAAAATATCGTCCAGCAAAATTTGTTACTTTCCCAGGCCTAGTCAAAAGTATAAAAATTATTTATACATAAACGGTCCCTCCTGAGATCTGGCCGTTTGTTCATTTGCTGTGTTAGAGGACATGCTGAACTAATGTTTTACACATGATCATCACCCTAACATTTGAGTGTATAAAAACATATTAAATATGTTTTTTTCCCTTAAAAGTGTTTAAACAGTTGTTGCATTTCAACACACAAAAAATAAATGGAAAAAATAAGATAAATCTAATGAAAAGTGTACATCTTTGACATTAAGCTTAAAAAATCTGTTGACGATGATGATACTGTTCATTTTTCAGAGCTTTTTAATGTGAAAATATACATTGCAATAGATAAGTTTACAATAAAGTTAAATGATAAAAGTTTTGAAGTTACACTTCTACTACTACTACTACTAGAAATAATAATTATGATGATAATAGTAAAAAAAATAATTATTATAATAATACGAATAAATTGTGTCTGAGGAGTCAGTTATGTGGAGGAGATGAGTTTGTAAAAGTTAGTTTTGAGTATGTTTGTGAAGGAGGAGGTGAGTCTGAGCTTAATGCAGGGGTGTCACATGTTCCAACTTACGTTTTGACTTTGAAAGAAGTCTCTTATATCCACTTTTCATTTTCTTGACATGCTGCCTCCTGGCTGTGCCTAACTACCAAAGACTCACAAATGAACACTTATTCAAATGTTATGTAATGGAAGCTGAGCTGAGCTCTTATATTACACAGCGTCTAGTTGACGATGTGACTCAGTACCGGTGTTCCCTAGCGGCTCCAAACTAGCAAAACAACGTGAGCACGTTCTGACTGTTTACAACTTGAGTGACAGCAGCAACAGCCAATAATACGTTAGCAAGTATCAGCAGAGCCAATAGATTAGCTTTTGGGCGGGTCTAATAGTAAACCGGTTTCCGTTTCGGTCCTAGTGCTCAACCAAATCCTTTTAATGGAGCGTAACATTGTTTTTGGACGGAAAAAAGTGCAGGGGACCAAAACTGCCTTTTGAAAAAGTGGGGGGGACATGTCCCACCCGTTCCCCCCCAAAATTACGTCCCAGGCTGCCCCCCAGTTTGGTTCCAGGAGTTTATCCCCCTTATGGTTTAAGAGTCTTTCTTTTGGGAAACTCCCAGCAGACTTTTAATGAGGAATTGGGTCACTCTACCATAAAGGGCCGATTGGTAGAGTGCTCCACTGATGAGTGTCCTCTTGTATGTTTTTCCAATCACCATGAAGCTGGATTTCATTGTGCCTTTGTTTACAGTTGCTGAGTCACACAGGCATATCTTCTAAGTCTGTTGGTGGTTCATTTTGTGAGGGCAGCTATGCAAGATGAAATGGTTTGTTATCCTTCCAAGACACGGATTAAAACCATATGGACTGGCGACACTAAAGCCTGCCGCACACAAGAGCAAACTGCTGAGCTAACGGTCATTCGAGGCTGTTAGCTCAGCAGAAACCTCGCTGCGTGCACCTAATTTTCACAGTTTTCTGCCTCACGAAACACCGAGGTGAAAATCAAACCGGTTTGATATTTCTCGCCTCGCGGGGGACAGAAACTCACTGTGTGCACACTATGTGAGCTGCCGGCTGAGGTGAAATATTCTAGTGGCCAATCAAAGCGCGTTCATCACTCACATGATTCAAATATGGCAGCCCACTGTCTGCATGTCAGAAAATAAACAAAACGGTACCTTCAGGATCGATGGGCCCACTGTTTTCACTACCCTTTCGAAGGATTCAGTATCCGGGCGGTGGTCCTGTCGTAAGGATTCTGGGTCTTCAAGGCACATCTCTTGGAGTAGACTGGCATAAATCCTTGTCTGGCCCTTCTTTGCAGCTGTACCCATACTTTCCTAACCTTGAAATGATGGCAGCGGCGACGGTTCATCAACAAAACAAGTAGAAGAATCTCCTCCATTTCCAGCTCTGTCTGTTTTTTTTTCTGCCATGCAGACCGGGGGCTGCCATCTTGGAATCATGTGAGTGGAGAACACGCTTTGATTGGCCACTAGAATATTTCACCTATTTCAAATCAGCTTCAGTGGTGGGAAAGCTGTAATCTAACTTAGAAATAGGTCTGAATAAAAGGTAACCTATGAAAGGTATTAAGTCTATTTTCCATCTAAAATAACACTTTTCTTCTGGCTTTGTAATCACAGGTGAAAAGTTGAAAAATCAGAATTTGGTGCAAAAATTCATTTAGTTCAGTAATTTAACTTAAAAGGTGAAACTAATACATGATACAGACTCATTACCTGCAAAGCCAGATGTCTCAGCCTTCATTTGCTGTAACTGTGATGATTTTGGCTCACAGCTTAAGAAAACCCCAAAGTCAAAACCTCAGACAAGCAGAATATTGTGAAAAGGTTCAATAGTCTACTCAAGCCCCAAAGTGTCACACTCTAATCAGCTAATGAACCCACCAGAAAATGGGTGCTGAGCCTTTAAATAGTCTCTCAGTCTGAGTTGAATAAGTGAAATAAAAGGACTTTTCCACCACATTCTCATTTTTCCAGTTTCCCCTGTATTTTCATTTGAATAATGATCAAGAAAGAGGTTTGAGTCATTTGCAAAAATAGTTTAAAGACTAGAAAAAGCCTGAAAAACTCAAAAAGGTTCATTTTTTTTAGTCTAAATCAAAAACAGAGTCATGCATGAAGGCAGATTAATAAAGGGAACTCACATCAATGTTACAGGATCTGTATCTTTTTCGCTCTCCGAGACAGTACTTGCCTCCTCCAGATGGGCTGAGAAACAAGAGACTCAAATGAACAAAGACTTAAAATAGAAAGCGCGCAAATGTAACATTTCACGTCAAAGTCAAATGAATTATGTTTGTGTTTAAGAAACAGGCTTGGATGACACGTAGAGTGACAAAGATTGAGGAAAAGGCCTAAAAACTCTTTGCACAGCACAGAATGTGTTTGTGTGTCTGCATTTGCTGCTTTGCTGAGAATCAGTGCCAATGTTTCACTCGTGAGAGGCTCTAAGACCTCTTAAGTGTGACATGACATTTGAATTTGGAGGCGAGGTTGAAGTATGTAACTTCAGAACAATCCTCCTATCACCTATTTTCTCTCTTGTCTAGCCTTCAGCCCACATCTACTCCATCTTCCAGGGATTTTTCTTCTTTTATCAGCTCTTTTTCTCCTCTCGCCTTCATTAGTCTCCATTTCCCCATCATTATTTCCATTTCATTGCAAAAAGGTTCTGTAATGAATGTGTAAGAGGCTGCTCTGGCTGTGTTTATTCTTCCCCCCTCAGCCCTTTGCACTGATGCCTGAGCAGCAGTGAGTACCTTACACAGGTGGTCCACATTATGGTGGTGCCTTCCCCCTTTTTTCTCTTTCTTCATTATTCACCCTGCCTCTTTCTCTTGTCTTCCCCAGATGTTCTTGGTGTAATACTTTGCCTCCGAACAGAATAATATGATGGTGAAAGCAGGATAAAGATCCCAGATGTCTGCATGACAGCCAAGGATGCTCCGGTTGAGGATAAGCTTAAGGAAGGCTGTAAAACTAAACACTTCACCGGTATGGTACCTTATAGTCACATCTAAGACTGATACAGGACAAATCTCATGCTTTAGTGAAAGTGCTTGTAGTGTTTTGTTGAAAACTTCAAAAATGATTTCATAAAACTTAGATCCAGATATTACGGCCTGTTTTGCTTTTCCAGATGAAGCCCACCTACATGTCCTCATGGTTTAGTTTCAAGGTCAAAGCTATATTGTCACATGGGCAGTAGGAAACATGTTTTCCTGTGTTGCTACCCTCACCGAAGGCCAAAAGTATAATTTAGGTATTTGATTAAAAAAAATAAAATGAGCGATGGTTTCTCAGGGTTTAGGAGTTCACCATGTAAATGGTGGGGTGCCGGATCAAACCCAGTCTCTGTATGTGTCAGTTGTTGTCTTTGGGGAAGACACTTCACCCTTTCACCATCCTTGCAGCATGATGCTGCCACCACCATACTTGATTTTAGGGATGGTATTGACCTGGTGATGAGCGGTGCCTGATTTCTTTCATTGGGACCTTCAAAGTAGCTTAACTTGTTTGTTAGCCTCAAGGGCTTGATTATCACGGGTAAGCCACTTTAGACAAAAGTAGCTACTAAATACATAAGCATAAGCTAAAATTGTCCGGTATCTTTCCCCAGATTTGTGCCTCGGGACAATCCTATCTCTGAGACAATTCCTTTGACTTTTTGCTTGGTTTATGCGCTGACATGCACTGTCATCTGTGGGACTTAATAGCAAGTGTGTACCTTTATAAATCATGTTCAGTCAGCTGAATTTACCGCAGGTGGACTCCAATGAAACATCTCAAAAACGATCATCGGAAAGCAGAAGCATCTGAGCTCAATTTGAGCCTCATAACAAAGGCTGTGAAAATGTATGTACAGGTGATTTGTCAGTTGTTGTTATTTATTTTTTTAAACTTGCATAAATCTAAAAAAGAAAAGCTTTTGTCACATTGTCATTATGGGGTTTTATGTGAAGAATTATGAGGATTAACATTTGTAGTACTGATCCCTCCCACACCGCCTACAGCTGGTGCAGAATGCGGCGGCCCGCCATTTGATGGACACCAGAAGGAGGGAGTACATTACTCCTGTTCTGGACCAGCTGCACTGGCTCCCGCGCTACCGCATCCTGTTTAAAATTTAGCTTCTTGTTTTTAAGTCACTCTATCTTTATGCGCCTCTGTACTTGACTCAGCTGGTTCAGCCGTACATACCTGGTCGAATTCTTCGGTCAGCAGACCACCGCCTGTTACAGGTCCCAAGTGTTCGGGTGAGGACACGAGGAGAACGAGCGTTCTCAATCTGTGCGTCTCATCTCTGGAACCAACTCCCTCTAGCAGTGAGCATGGCCCCCTCTCTCTGATTTTAAATCATTTTTATTCTTTGGCTTTTACTTCAGCCAAGCTAGCCTTGTACTATGTCTCAGTTTTATTTTCATTATTGATTACTGTACTACTTTTATGACTTTCTTCGGTTGTGGTGATTTTTATGCTCTTTTACTGTGCAGCACTTTGGTTGGCCTCGGCCGTGTAGAAATGTGCTTTACAAATAAAATGTAAATGTAAATGGACAAAAATTTATTTTATCCATTTTTGGAATAAGGCTGTAACATAACTGAATGTGATTTACTGTGAACCACTGCACAGTCCAGCACTTTGTTTCAGAGAAAATGTTTACATATAATTCAAGTTAAATGCTTCATTATGTCCTACAGGAATCAGGTGGAGAGAAGAGGTGTTATCTTATTAGGGATGGAGTCACACCATAAAGGAGAGTTTCATTTCCTTTCCCAAGAATACTGCATTCATCTGTAGAAACACCTATAGGTACAGGTAAATCTGCTCCCACCAGGATGTAAGTGGCAGATGCAAACACACACCGGTAGGCTGGACCCTGGTGTGTGTGTTCAGCTTGCTGTGGCTTACTTTTGCCTACTTACGCTGGGCTGTCACAGTGCCTCTCAGAGGAAGATACTCCGCCCCCACAGGTCCTGCTGCACTCCCCCCACATCGACCACGGTCCCCAGCCTCCGTCCACACTCTGAGGCCAGGTCCCAAATGCCACACACTCACCCTGGTAGCACCACTGGTTAGAGAAGGGCAGAAACACAGACGGAGAGACAAGGATGTTTAACCATTACAAGTTTTATCATCTGTGCTGTTGTGTGAAAAATGTTTTACAAGCATCTAATTGGGGTATCTGATTAATAAAATATTCTAACGGTATCTGACATGATGCTCAGGTTTATTTAGCTAAAAAGCAACGGATAACTTGTTTTAAAAGTCTTGTTCACTGAGAAACCGTGTCATACTTCATTTTTTTTTACATAATCCGTCTCTCTGAGTTGCATATGCAGACATGTAAACCAAATTCTTCAACCCTTTGTCACAGTTCCAGCCAATGTTGCCAACTGTTTTTGACTGAAAGTAGCTGAAGTTCCCCCCAAAAGTCGCTAGATGTCGCCAGATAAGGTCACATGCTAATTTGCGTATGATGCAATGACGTCATCTGGTTTGCGTCATGACATCACCACGTTTGTGTCATGACATCACCAGTCTTGTAGAGTAAATCAAATAAAACTGCGTGATTTTATTAAAAAATTATTTAGTTTATTTTTTAATATTTTATAAAAATAAAAATCCCATAGAATACAAAACAGCAGCCTTTAAAACATAAAGGAAAGAAGCCAGTGAGATGCAGGAGCCAAGATCACCCAGCCCTGGTGATCAGCCTGACACCGCCCCTCCTCCTCCTCTCTTCCAGGCTGCTGAGGAGCACAGCTGAGCTGAATTCTGCTGATGACCCACACCTGGGATAAAAAGGCTGTGCCCTCAGCAGTCTGGGAGGCAGATACATTATTCCTAATAGGGAAACCGGGAAGAAGAAACTATAGATCATGTTGTATTACAATGTCAGAAATATCAGGCAGAAAGAAGGAAAATGATTCAAAATCTTAGTCCGATGAAAGTGAAACTAGATCTTGTTGATTTATTGAGACAGAATTCAAAAAGTGACTGTTTTCAGATTTTATTTCGGTTTTTGAAAGAGATAAGGATGTTTCACAAGTTTGTAGGATTTCCTTTTTCCACCTTCGGAATATTGCTAAGATTAGAAGCATCCTTTCCAGGAGTGATGCTGAAAAACTAGTTCATGCATTTATTACATCAAGACTGGATTACTGTAATTCATTGCTCTCAGGAAGTCCACAGAATGTAGTTAAAAGTCTTCAGCTTGTCCAAAATGCTGCAGCTAGAGTTCTGATGAGAATTAAAAAGAGAGATCATATCTCTCCTGTCTTAGCTTCCCTACATTGGCTACCTGTTAAATTCAGAATAGATTTTAAGATCCTTCTTCTCACATATAAAGCTCTTAATAATCAAGCTCCATCATACATCAGTGATCTGATTGATCCATATGTTCCTAACCGAGCACTTCGCTCTCAGACTGCAGGTCTACTGGTGGTTCCCAGAATATCTAAAATTAGGATGGGAGGCAGATCTTTTAGTTATCAGGCTCCTCTCCTGTGGAACCAGCTCCCAGCTTTAGTCCGTGAGGCAGACACTTTGTCTACTTTTAAGAATAGGCTTAAAACATTTTTATTTGATAGGGCTTATGGTTAAAATCTGATGTTAGCCTAAATCTGGACAAGTGGGGGAGTAGAGGGAGGTGGAGTGTACAGTCGGTAAAGATGGCTCTCCCTTGCCCTGACTCCAACATGCCTCCATCTAAATAGGATAGATTATCCAGAGTTATCTCTGTAGTTATGCTGCTATAGGCTTAGACTGCTGGAAGATACACTGACCACTTTTCACACTCTACTGCTTTCTTCTACAATCTGCTCTTTAACTGTATTATTTTCTGCAATTTCAGCTGTTAACTTTATTTTCTCTGTAAGTGTTTTTCTCCCCAGAAGAAGCTACGACGACGTTCTGCTGAGCTGTGGTGGCCTCATGGAGGGGGCCATCGACTAGCTCACTGCTGCTAACCACTTAAACATTCTCCCTCTCCTGATAATGGCTTTTTGCTTTCCTTGACGTTGGATGTGCTAATACTAGTTTATCCGTTTAATTATAGATTCACTAGGATAAATACAATAAAGTTTATCTTTCACCAAATAGAATATTTACTAAGACATCGCAATATAACTATGGACACATTACTAGTCTTTGTGAGTGTGAGTGCGTGCGTGCGTGCATGCGTGCGTGCGTGCGTGCGTGTGTGTGTGTGTGTGTGTCTGCTCTGTCTTCTCGATCCCCAGTGAGTCGTGGAGGATGGCTGCTTATACTGAGCCGGGATTCTCTGGAGGTTTCTTCCTGTTAAAAGGGAGTTTTCCTCTCCACTGTCGCTTTATGCTTGCTTAGTATGAGGATTGCTGTATAGTCACTGACACTTGTCAGTGACTTGATGCAATTTGCGGGGTTCCTTATATAGGAAAAATTATTTCTGATTGGCTTAATGAACTGTCCTGAATTGGAATGTTTATCATGTGAAGTGCCTTGAGACGACTCTTGTCGTGATTTGGCGCTATATAAATAAACTTGAATTGAATTGAATTGAATCTTGTTGATTTATTGAGACAGAATTCAAAAAGTGACTGTTTTCAGATTTTATTTCGGTTTTTGAAAGAGATAAGGATGTTTGGGAGACTTAGAGGTATATGTATATATGTATATGTGTATGTATATATCTATATATACTGTATATATATATATATATATCTATATATATGTATATATATATATATATATATATGTATGTGTGTATGTGTATATATATATATATATTCCCCCATGTTTGATTTTTTTGTTTTGTTTTGTTTTGTCTTGTTGTTTTTGTTTGATTTTGTTTTACGAGCGCTGTTCCAGACCACACTCCACACTAGTTGGTGGCGGTAATGCACCATTCATTGTTTGCCAACTGCCAATGAACCACCAGAAGAAGAAGAAGAAGAAGTCTGGAAGGCAGCAGTGCAGGGGTTCTGCTGTACTCCAGGCCTCAGATTGTTTTCAACCCCTTCGATTAGAAGTGTTTTAACTTTCATAGTTTTAAACTCTGTGTGATCCACATGGACCGTTGGGTTTATGTCAAACTTAGTTGACTCTGTTTTAAGGTTAACTCGGATTTAGGTTTTAGACTTTTATCAACTTCGTAGTGTTTTTAAAACACCTTCAGTTTAGGTAAAATTTTTAATAAAGTTAACCATAGTGAATTTTTCATTTTGCATTATTTTAATAATGCTCGCCATCTGTTTGCTTTTGTTTTTAGAACCTTTTACAACAATTAAACCCATTTTAACTCCACTGTCGTATTTCTTATGTTACCCCCTCCTTCACATTTTAACACCTCCTGACGGGGACGTAACAGTAGCTGTTCTTTTTGCTTTCTGGAATGTTGCCACGTCTTCATTTCCCTTCAAGGCTCATGCATATATTCCTAGATAAACTGTGTGTTAGACGACTCCCATCGCTAGAACTTCCTGGTTTGGGTCTTGTCACACTCTGCAGCTCTCCTCACTGCTCACCACAATGAGCCAAGGTGATGAGCCTGACACCCGTATCGCCTGCACAATTACCACAAAGGCAATAACCATTTAAACGACTGGGCCATAAAGCCAGTCTCTTCTACGTCACGCCTTAGCTTGCCACCGCGACCTAGACTTGATTGTGCAGTCGGGAGAAAGCAGAACATGTTTTGGCTAGTAGACGCTAACAGTTAGCAACTCCACAACATGGTGGAACATGTTCAGTCTTGTGTTATTTATGGAGATAACACATCAACGTCAATCTTTTACCCAAAAAGTCCTGATGAGAGTTGCTGTTAACCAATCAGAGGAGAGATGTTTGCTAATGAGTAGGACTTGGAATCCTGTCTCCTCTGACCAACTGTAACCCCTCAAAACAGGAGTCAGAGAACAGCTGCGATATAACAAAGTGCAAAAAATAGCGTATCCACTCTAGAAGAATGACGTTTGAAGTCTGCAGCAATTAGCGTTGAAAGTGACTCCGTTCGTATTATGACAAGATAATATGGGTTTTTTTTAGAATAGCCAATTAAATTTGAGTTGGTTTCCAAGACAGGTGGCAAACACAAAAGGCTGAGGTTAAAGTCCTAAGCTAAGCTGTTCAGTGTTCCAGTGGGAAGAGGGGATCAGAGACGTCCCTTTGTCTCTGCAACTGTGTCAGTAGGTTAATAACCCAAACAGGCGGGGACAGTCAAGGTGAGGGCACTGTAGGGTCGCTGTTCTAACTGTCTGACTCACTCATTCATGCTGAAACCCTGTCTAAATCAAGACTAGCAGTGAGAGAGAGGAGGTAGTGAGAAGGACAGAGGGATCAGTACAACAAATGTAAAGGGTTCCACATGGAAACACTAAACTTGTGGCCTATTTCTTATGTCGTCTCAGCCACCTGGGCTCTGTCTCTTTGCTTCTGTTGGATAGGCCTCTGTTGTTACACACTGGGTGAGAAATGGCTGACATTCATATTCCTTTGAAGTTGCCCACCAGCAGCAGCAGACAGGGTGTGCCACCGGCTCTCCTAAAGCTGTTCAAAAGTCCCATGGCTCAACCTGGGGCCCCCTATGTTGTCCAGGGCCCTGTTTGTGGGCCCCGGTCCTCAAAGGCTCCACTGAGCTAATGGTAATCACGGGTGACAGCTCGTGACACTCTCCTATTCTTTCTTTTAGAACTTGGGCCATCAGGCAACAATGGACGCCATAATCCGCGTTAAAACTGTCTCCCCTAACCTGGTTGGCATAAACGGAGGGGTGATGACCTAAAGCTCTCTATAAATTTGTGTGTGTGTGTGTGTGTGCGTGCGTGCGTGCGTGCGTGCGTGCGTGCGTGTGTGTGTGTGTGTGTGGTGGCATCCACTGGATGAGTAACAGTTTCTAGTATGGAGTCAGGGGTGAACCTCTGTCTGAGGATGTTTGACTCACCAACAGGACCGTTGATATGTTGGTTTCACACCAGAAGGCGAAGTACTTTTTGTCATAAAAATAATAGAAATAAAACTTTGATGCTCACATTTTATGAATAAATCATACCCATAATGCTACCAACATTTTTCCACATCCTAAACATCTAT